GTACTTTAAGTACAGTTTCTACTGACTGCCTATTGCTAGTAAAGTTGAAAAGTCATAAATCATCAATATTCAGGGACTATCTGTAGTCCCTGCAAAAATATATCCAATGCAATACACAGAACATAATTACCCTAAAACAGTACCCTCTGTTTATCCAAGATTCAAATTTAACTGAGTGTCCTGTATTTTATCTGGCAGTTGTAAGGAAACACATCCCTTCCCATATTCCTAGATGCAAGCTGGAGACACCTGGCCCCTTAAGATTTAGAAAATCAGCCTGAATGTGTACCTTAAACAATTCTAAAAGCCCTCTGGAGGATGTCTGTGAATTACCAGGGCAGGAATGTGGTAGTGAGGAATTATGTTTTCATTGAGCCTCAAAGCTCAGTCTCTCTCTCCTCAGGACTCTCTTCTGAGACTTTTCCAGTGTACAGAAACACTGTGAGTGTGGCAGATTTCATGGGAGAACTAGAAGTTGAAGACAGCTGTCACATCAGGCATAGCCTGGAAAACAACTCAAAGTAGGATTTTTCTTTCTGGCTCTTTTTTTTTTTTTTTTGGGTGGGGGAAACAGGATCTCGATCTACTGCCAGGCTGGAGTACAGTGACACAATCGCAGCTCACTGCAACCTCGACCGCCCAGGCTCAAGCTATCTTCCTTCCTCAGCCTCCCTAATAGCTAGGATTACAGACGCATGCCACCAACCCTGGCTAATTGTTTAATTTTTTTGTAGAGACAGGAGTCTCCCTTTGTGCCCAGGCTGGTCTCAGACTCCTGGGCTCAAGTGATCCTCCCATCTTGGCATCCCAAAGTGCTGGGATTACAGTTGTGAGCCACTGTCTGGGTAGGATTTAACATACTCTCTTTTTTAGAGTCCTTTCAGCCACCTAGCACCAATGGTTTCTCATGGTTCTCTGCCATAACCCCTGGGTCATGATCACTCTGTTGACACACCCTTTTCCCTCCTCTGTCATCTTCTCAACATTCTCTCAGTAGCCAAAAATGTCTCTCCTCCTAGAGAACAAATTCCTCAACTAAACAGTTTTGACATCCTCTCTCAAGTTTTGCAACCAGCTGATAGCCAAGACCTCAGGGTCTCAATCATTTATTGAGACATTCTTCCAAACACAAACAGTTTGAAATTTTTGCTGAGAAGAATTCTGATGCCAGCAGTTAAGACAATAACATTTTTTATTAAATTATTGCAATGGTATCTTTTTTTTTTTTTTTTTTTGCCAGCATACAGGAAAAAGAAGGATATCTCTTTCAGTTGTAACCAGTATGACCCATTTGTACTAGTTACATCATCATTCTCCTGGAGGAAATTCAATTGCTTTTTGCCCTGTGGCTAGGTACAATAAAAGTTCAGGAATAACTGTAATGGGCATCATTTTGGATTCCACTGTAGATTCTGGATAAGCCTGTTTGTTCATCTTTCTGCCTTAAAATCTAACTCAGAATTAAAGTTGATTATACTTTTTAAGGTAAAGAAAGAAAGTTTTGGTAAATATGCCACAATTTTTTATAGCTGAAAGAATCACCTGATCTTTTTGGAAAAGAAAAAAATGAAACGTACTGTTAGGTAATTATATGGCTTGGCTGTGTACCCACCCAAGTTTTATCCTGAATTGTAGTTCTCATAATTCCCTTGTGTTGTGGGAGGGACCTGACGGCGGATAACTGAATCATGGATTCCCCCATACTGTTTCCCCCATACTGTTCTCATGGGAGTGAATGAGTCTCACAAGAGCTGGTGATTTTATAAGGGGTTTCCACTTTCATTTGGCTCTCATTCTCTCTTGTGTGCTGCCATGTAAGATGTGCTTTTCACCTTCTGCTATGATGGTGAGGCCTCCCCAGCCACACGGAACTGAGAGTCCATTAAACCTCTTTTTCTTTATAAATTACCCCATCCCAGGTATGTCTTTATCAGAAGCATGAGAACAGACTAATACAGGTAAACTCAGATAACAGTGAGGAGGAAAGAGGAGGCAGGAAGATATCAAGAAATTGGGCTCTCTGGTACCGGAGGCTTGGCTCAGACCCTAGTCCATTATCTTTTCCAAGGCTTATCTTTTAAATTTAGCTTTACTCATCAGCACTTTCCAGGTAGCTCCTAGATAATGCAAAAGCCACATAAAGGTATACAGACATAGTAATCTTGCTAGTCAATTAGCATAACAAAAAAGATCTATAAATAAATATATCTGCCATGCCATTTATCACAGATATAGTGAAGAAAATAATTGGGTCATTCAGATACTCCTCTTAAAAACAGCTTTGCCGTAATTATCTCAGAATTATAATAATAGATTCATCCATTGAGTAGTGTTTGGGTTCTTTTTAGTTTGTTTGAACCAGCCAAATAAAAGGCTTAATGTTTTACTACCTTTCTGCAAGTGTAAATCTGGCCTGAATTTTAGGCCAGATTTTGGGACAACATGTATGTATGAAACTAACTTATTAACTATGTACATAATGAGGAAATTAGTAATAAACTAGCCACACTGGTAAAATGGTAATAGAGAAGCAGAGGCTCAAGTTCAAGTTGCAAAACAAGATGCAATTAATTTGTGATTTTTTTTCCTGATGTTTATCACACCAGAAATTTTTTATCTGCTACATATGATAAAGTGACAACATACTAAAACTAAAAAGAGGAAATCCTCTTTCAGTAAATTAGCCTTTTAACATAGAACAAAATCCACAGTAACTGAACAATAATCTAAACTGTCCTTCAAAGAGATACCTCACCTTTAAATCTACTTCAAAATGAAAACTGATTACACTTTTCAGGGTAAAGAAAGAAGGTTTTGGTAAACATGCCATAATTTGTTACTGCTGAAAGCATCACTTGATCTTTTAAGAAAAAACAAAAGAAGAGTGAAAGGTACTATTGGGTAAACTCAGGTAAACAGTAAAGAGGAAACAGGAGGCAGGAGGATTTGCTCGTAGAGAATTTTGCTCTTTCCCTCAATCAATGAAGCAATGTACATCTTTAACTGTGAGGGTTTTCCCCCGCTGCACAGGAAAATTCTCAACTTTGCATGCCCCAGTATTTTGGCAGGTCACATTTTCCATAGACAAGTTTTACAAACCATATGTAGATATCTGGTGGCTGTTGTGAAATCCCACTTAACACAATTCAGTATTTTGGATCTATTTATAGAAGTCCTGCTATGTGAACATTTTTAGCCTGTACGATGTCAGCCTGGTAATTTTCATGCAAGTAAGAAAACAATTTGTTCTAGCCTCCAAAATGGTACTAACATCAAAAATGTCCTTCATATCAGGGAGCTTATGACTAAAGAATTTCCACAAAATCAGTAAAAATGGTGGCCAAGCTTAAGTGGCAGTGCCAGCGAGACAGCAGTAACTTCATGGCCAAGATAGCAGAGGCAGAAGTCGTTGAGTGATTGTGAGAGAGAAAATATCTGGGTTTCAAGTTTCAATCTCTCTCTCTCTCTCTCTCTCTCTCTCTCTGGATATGAAGGCTTTTTTTGTCAGGTTTTTTTTTTTTTTTGAAACAAATTCTACTTCCTCTGTTGCCCAGGCTGCAGTGCAGTGGCGCAATCTCAGCTCACTGCAACCTCCACCTCCTGGGTTCAAGCGATTTTGTGCCTCAGCCTCCTGGGTAGCTGGGATTACAGGTGCTAGCCACCACGTCCAGCTAAGTTTCGTATTTTTTTTTTCTTTTTGAGACCGAGTTTGGCTCTTGTCACCCAGGCTGGAGTGCAATGGCACAATCTCATCTCACCGCAACCTCCGCCTCCTGGGTTCAGGCAATTCTCCTGCCTCAGCCTCCTGAGTAGCTGGGATTACAGGTACGTGCCACCATGCCTAGCTAATTTTTTGTATTTTTAGTAGAGACGGGGTTTCACCATGTTGACCAGGATGGTCTCGATCTGTTGACCTCGTGCTCCACCTGCCTCGGCCTCCCAAAGTCCTGGGATTACAGGCTTGAGCCACCGCGCCCAGCCTAATTTTTGTATTTTTAATAGAGAAGGAATTTTGCCACATTGGCCAGTCTGGTCTCAAACTCCTGAGCTCAGGTGATCCACTCACCTCGGCATCCCAAAGTGCTGGAATTAGATGCATGAGCCACCATACCCAGCTGGATATGAAGGTTCTGCCAGTCTCAGAGAATCTGGGTGGTTGTTGTGCTTGTTTGTTTGCTTTAATGACAATTACATTACAGACCCCAACCTGTTTTTCTAGCACCATCTCCCACTATTCTGATATTTTAACCAAATTGGCCTATATGCTATTCCCCAGGTATCTTTACTGCCCTTGCCTACATCACAGAGAAAGATCTCAGGAGACGGCCATCTATGGTTAACAGAAAATTGGAGAAAGCAAGGGTATAATATTTTATCATTGGCATTCTGGTTCATACGCCATTGTTACAAGTTTGGATAATGTCAGTCCAGTTCATTGAGAGCAGCTGGGAGATAGAGCAGTCTGGCTGTATCCCCTGTGAGTGGCCCTAAGAAACCTGTACATGATGTCCAGGTGCAGTGGCTCACGCCTGTAATCCTAGCACTTTGGGAGGCCTAGGCAAGTGGATCACCTGAGGCCAGGAGTTCAAGACCAGCCTGGCCAACAGGGTAAAATCCCATCTTTACTAAAAGTACAAAAATTAGCCTGCTGTGGTGGTGGGTGCCTGGATTCCCAGTTACTTGGGAGGCTAAGGCAGGAGAATCGCTGAACCCAGGAGGTGGAGGTTGCAGTGAGCTGAGATTGCACCACTGCCCTCCAGTCTGGGTGGCAAAGCACGGCCCCCTCTCAAAAAAAAAAGAAAGAAAAAGAAATCTGTAAATGAATCTGAGGTGGGTAGACTAGGATAAACAACAGAGTCCTTTTAGTGTATTCAGTATTTATCAATGGACAGGCCTGGGGGGCACAAATTGTTATCAGTGTTTACTGACCACACACATAAGTATTTTTAAGGAATCTGGAAATGAGAAAGGTCTAAAGGTCATCTTGGAATTTATTTTAGAGCCAACAGGTAATGAATCAGAGAAGACCAGAATCACCATAAAGAGACAGAATGGCTCCTAACCCTACGCACTTCAGAAAAGGATAAAATGTGCCATTGTATCTAAAAAGATAAGCATATCCATCAGAATGAGAATGGTTAGCCACAGAGGTATACAAATAGAAGAGTCACAGAAAACTGCTGGCAGCCTTCATTCAAGCCCTTATGGAGAGAGGATACCTTGATTGAAGGCCTCAGTTTATCAATCTGAGTGGTAAGAATTTTATTATTACATGTGTTTTACATGTGTTCACTTGCTGACTTCTTAAAAATATCATGTAGTGCTGTATTGGTCAAGGTTCCTTTTTTTTTTTTTGAGAAAGAGTCTTACTCTGTTGCCCAGGCTGGAGTTCAGTAGCATGATCTCAGCTCACTGCAACCTCTGTCTCCCAATTTCAAGCTCTTCTCGTGCCTTAGCCTCTCAAGCAGCTGGGATTCCAGGCACACACTACCACAACTGCCTGAATTTTGTATTTTTCGTTTCATTGCATTGGCCAGGCTGGTCTGGAACTCCTGACCTCAAGTGATCTGCCTGCCTAGGCCTTCCAAGGTGCTGGGATTACAGGCATGAGCCACCATGCCCTGCTGATGAAGGTTCTTCTGTTGCAAACGAGAAAAGCCAACGCTGACTAGCTAAAGCAAGAAGGGGAGCTTTAGGAGAGGATACAGGGACTTCTTAAGACAGGGGAAGGCTGTCGAGCCTCAGAAGGGCCTGGATTAGGGAGATGGCAGGCATTACTCCAGGCTCTCTCTCCAGTGCTTATGGTCCCAGTCCTTGCTTCTCTGGGCAAGCCTGCTTCCTTCCCCTCTCCTTTTTTTCTGCAGACCCAGAGTCAACTAACTCTGGCAGCACATGGACAGGCATCATTAACTCCACAGAGGCAGCCTCCAATCCCAAGTTTACATGACTTCATTCAAGCAAATAGACCAGACTGGATATCTCTGCAAATTCCTAAGAAAGAGAACCTGATTGGCCCCACGTAAATAAGGAGTTCACCCCTTATTCATTTCCCTGTGGACAGTAGTGCAAGGTCACAATATAAAAATAGGGTTACTAGAGGTCCACATAGAAGGAGGACATGAGAAAAGGCGGGAAAGTGGTTATTGTTAGAGAAGTAAACCAGTGTGTCCTGTGAAGACATCCCACAAAGTATCTAGTACAGGGAAGGACTATTTTTTTTTTTTTTTTTTTTTGAGACGGAGTCTCGCTCTGACGCCCAGGTTGGAGTGCAGTGGCACCATCTAGGTTCACTGCAACCTCCACCTCCTGGGTTCAAGCCATTCTCCTGCCTCAGCCTACCAAGTAGCTGGGACTACAGGCATGCACCACCACGCCTGGCTAACTTCTGTTTTTTTAGTAGAGAAGGCGTTTCACCATGTTGGCCAGGCTATCCTCCAACTCCTGACCTCAGGTGATCTCCCTGCCTCAGCCTCCCAAAGTGCTGGGATTACAGGCATGAGCCACCATGCCCAGCTGGTAGGGACTATTATTATCCCCATTTTACAGTTAACAAAATGAAGGCATTCAGAGCTTAAGTAACTTGCCCAAGGCCACAGAGCAAGTCAGTGGCAGACTCAGGATCTAAAATCAAGTCTGTCTGAGTCCTAATCATTCTGCTATAATGCATCTCCAAATTCCTGCTCAACAGGCAATCTTCTTAGTTGATGTGGCTTTTTATAAAGGTTTACCTACAGGCATGAACTGATTGTACAGACTTCATATATTCCAATTCCTATAATCATTATACTTCTCATTATAAAGTAATATATTGGCATTCTGGTTTATACACCATTATTATAAGTTTGGATAATGCCAGTCCAGTCCTAAGAAGTGGATCTGTTTTTAGTATGTTGACAATATTGGGTTCCAGAGCTTGTAAAGCTAAGCTAAGGCTGAAGTTTAATGGTTGTAAATTTCGCCATCGTGGCCGGCGTCAAGGGTCTCGGCCTTAGCCTTACAGAAATAATGTATGTTCCTAGGAAGTTTCTTAAAGGACAGTTGCTGGAGTTTCTGACATGACAATACCTTTCTTACTTCATGAATCATTTTGATTTCTACAAAGATTAGATTTTTTTTGCTATTAGCTCATAACCCAAAAAAGCTAGGTTTCTGCCTGTACCCTTAGCAATTTCCATTTTGCTTTCACATGCTCATTCCACAATTATTTTTAGTGCCAATTATATGCCAAGCATGTGGTAGGCACTGTGAATGCAGCAAATAACATAAGCACAGTCTCTGCCCTCAGGTTGTTTATTGCCTAATCTAGCTTAGAATTTGAGGCAAGCTGAATTCTCCTAACAGGTTTTGAGAGGAGAATGAGAATAAAGGGAAGAGCAAAGAAAGGAGAAAAGTGATTTGTGGGCCTTTTTCCACAGGAGGGATGAATAAAAAGGGAGTAGAGAAGAAATAGAATTTTGGGTTTATTCAAAAATAACCCAGGGATAGAGTTCATGAATGCTTATTAATATATTAATCATGACAGCAATATCTTCCGTCTCACATCCCACTATAAAAAAAAGAAGTGCATTGTGACATGAATAACCCAAATCAAGGCTGACTTGGCTAAAGAGCATCTAGCATCAGCAACAACCAAAGCAGGATATGATTATGAGTCTTCTGACATGTCCATGGAGTTCACTGCCTCATCACCTTAACAATCAATCCACAAATATATATATATATATACGAGATTACAAATGCAATTTTCATCAGCTGATAGATTAATCTGGGCCTCAGCATGCTTAATTAACCAAAACACTGCTAAGTTTTTGTCTATCCTAAAAGGAAAATCAGATTTTTTTTGATGCGCCTTGTTTTTCCTCTGTGACAGGAACAAGTCTGGCATGTTTAAAGAAGAGCAGGAAAAGAGGGAGAGTTATAGGGATAAGGTCAGAGAGGTGGGTCAAGACATTAGGGCCTTTTAAACATGAGTAAAGACTGGGTGTGGGCCAGGTACAGTGTTTCATGCCTGTAATCCCAGCATTTTGGGAGGATAAGGCAGGAGGAATGCTTGAGCCCAGGAATTTGAGACCAGCCTGGACAACAAAGTGAGACCCTGTATCTACAAAAAATAGAAAAAATCAGCCATGTGTGGTGATGTATGCTTGTGGTCCCAGATGCTCAAGAGGTTGAAGTGAGAGGATTATTTAAACCCTGGGTGGTTGAGGCTGAAGTGAGCTATGATCAGGCCATTGCACTCCAGCCTGAGAGAGAGCATGATCCTGTCTCAAAAAGAAGGGAAGGAAAGAAGGAAGGAAGGAAGGAAGGAAGGAAGGAAGGAAGGAAGGAAGGAAGGAAGGAAGGAAGGAAGGAAGGAAAGGAGGGAGGGAGAGGTGGAGGGAGGGAGGGAGGGGGGAAAGATCTCATGAGATCTGGTTGTAATAAAAGAAAAAAGAGAGAAAGAAAAGAAAAGAGGGGGAGGGATGGAAAGACACAAAAGAAAGAGATAAAGAGAGGGAGGGAGGAAGAAAGGAAGGAAGGAGGGAAGGAATGAAGAGAAGAAAGAAATAAAGAAAGACAAAGAAAGAAAGAAAGAAAGAAAGAAAGAAAGAAAGAAAGAAAGAAAGAGAGAAAGAAAGAGTCTTTAGAAGGAGTGACTAGTGATGCAGGAAAAGCAAGAAGAGTGGAGACCCTGAAAGCCAAGTAAAGATATGTTTAAGGAAGGAATGAGTGATTGTCAAATCAAATGCTGTTAAGAGGCCAGGCAAGATGAGAACTGATATGCTACCTCTGGATTTAGCAAGATACAAGTCGCTATTGGATTTTTTAAATTAAATTAAATTTTTTTAATTTTAATTTTTAATTTTTATTTTTAGAGACAGGGTCTTGTTATGTTGCCCAGGCTGACCTTGAACTTCTGGGCTCAAGCAATCCTCCCACATTCAAGTAGCTGGGATTACAGGCATGAGCCATTGTGCCCAGCTTGCTATTGAACTGGACAAGAGTAGTCTTAGAGAAATAGTTCATTCCAGCTTTCTAGGGTAATGCTGGCATGGAGTAGTTAGAATGCTGTAATACTAGAAAAGAAGTGAATCAAGTTGAAAATGCAAGGTGACAAAGTAAAGACAGTAAAAATAGACATTTTTGAATGGACCATTTCTATAAAAGGAAGTAGGAAAACGTGCCACATTTGAAGAAAGATGTGCCACATAGTCAAAAAAAGATGAGGATACTAGAGAGAATTTATATCCTGCTGTATCCTGATGGGAGTGATCAAGAAGAGAAGAAAAAATTGCGGATGCAAGGGATATTGAAATCGTTGGTGGACCAAAAGGATGGGATCTAATGCACATGTGGAAATGTTGGCTTCAGACGGGAGCACTGATGGTTTATGCAAGGTAGCAGAAGGGAAAGCTATAGATCCTGGCAGGCTGATAGATTTAGTGAAGACAAAATGACTGTTTTTTTTTTTTTTCTTATTGCTTCTATTTTTTCCACTTCAAAGGGTGGTCATTATCTAAAAGCAAGAAATGGAGTAAGAATGTTTGTAGTTTAAAGAAAGAAGAGAAGGTGTGAAATGATTATCTAGGAGAGTGGAAAAGGCTAGGAAAAATGTAGCAAGATTGTTAAACAGAGTCAGAGCTGATTTGAGATGTATGGTTAAAACATTTTTGAAGGAAGACCAGTCAACATAGTTACATATTTTTTCTAACAATGTTCGACTGTTCAGTGCTGATGTAAAGTGGATAGAGAATTATATTTCAGACAGAGTTAGGTTCTCTAGCAAGATTGGAGAGTGAGAGGAACAAGGCAGTTGGATGTCCATATGGAGAAAAGAAAGTAATGTGCATGGAATGATGGATGGTGAAGAAGTGGTAGGTCACTGGATTGGCTGCTCCAAAGGTTATGGTTGAGTGTGGTGATAGGGGTAGAGCTAGAAAGAGAAGGATGATTAATCATAAGAGTATAGGATTCTAGAAATCAATATTTTTGTTCTTGCCCATTAGGTCATGAACAATAAAAAAGAAAAGTTAAATAAATAAACACTATTTGGTGGATGATATGGTAATAATAAATTCTCATTTATCAAGGTGTATGACCATGATGGTGTTTTGTTGAAATGGGGTGGAAGAAAATAATATTGGACATGAGAAGGCCACACGTGGTGGCTTACACCTGTAATCCCAGCACTTTGGAAGGCTGAGGTGGGAGGATTGCTTGAGCTCAGGAGTTTGAGACCAGTCTGGGCAACAAAATGAGACCCTGTCTCCACAAAAAAAAAATAGAAAAAATTAGCTGGGTGCGGTGGTGTGCACCTGTGGCTGCAGCTAATCAGGAGGCTGAGGTAAGAGGATCACTTGAGCCTGGAAGGTCAAGGCTGCAGTGAGCTGTGATCATACCACTGTACTCCAGCCTGAGTGACAGAGCAACACCTTGTGAAAGAAATAGAGAGAGAGAGAGAGAGAGAGAGAGAGAGAGAGAGAGAAGAGAAAGGGGAAGGGGAAGGGGAAGGGGAAGGGGAAGGGGAAGGGGAAGGAAGAAAGGTAGGAAGGAAGGAAGGAAGGAAGGAAGGAAGGAAGGAAGGAAGGAAGGAAGGAAGGAAGGAAGGAAGGAAAAAGATTAAGGAACTGAGAGGCTAGGGTGTTTACAAGGATTATTTTTTTGTGGATGCTAAAGTCACCAATCATAGGAATATGGGATAGTGATGGACAGAGAGAGAAAAAAATAGATGCTAAAATTTTTGTTGAATAAGCAAGAGTTAGTAAGTGGCTGGTAGGTGACTCAATAAAGAAGAGTAGTGGTCTGCTGACATGTGCTTCAAAAAAAGTTAAGGGGTTTTGTTTATTTTGTTTTTAGGGAGGAGGAACCATAAAAATGTCTAAAAGCAATGATAAGAAACAAGGATATCACCTCTAGGTCCTGTGAAAATGAGATGTAGGAGAAAACAGTGACCACTGAGAGAGCTGAGAGTGTAGTTTCTTCAAAGGTGAGACAAACTTCAGTTCAAGAAAGAGGAACCATGAATTCCAAAGCATATAGTAAAGAATTTGTTTGGTTGGGGAAGAGTGGGAAATTGACTCAGATCCATGAATATACTAAACTGTCTGAATGATAATGAATGAAGCAGCTGGTTTGAACTGTTTGCCTGAAGTATATGACATTTGGCATAATGGGATTAATGCTGGTTGTCACTTAAGGGAAGGTGAGTGTCAGTCTTCCTTTCTTAAAAAATTACAATGTGGCTAGGCATGGTGGCTCACGCCTGTAATCCCAGCACTTTGGGAGGCTGAGGTGGGTGGATCATGAGGTCAAGAAATCGAGACCATCCTAGCCAACATAGTGAAACCCCGTCTCTACTAAAAATACAAAAATTAGCCATATGGTGGCATGTGCCTGTAAGTCCCAGCTACTTGGGAGGCTGAGGCAGTAGAATCGTTTGAAACTGGGAGTCAGAGGTTGCAGTGAGCTGAGATCATGCCAATGTGCTCCAATCTGGTGACAAAGTGAGACTGCGTCTTAAAAAAAAATTACGTTTCTTTCTTTATTGGTTCATACTACATGAGTTCACAGCTATAAAAGACAAATGTAAGCATGCTTTATTTTTATATAGATTTAAAGGGGTACAAGTGTGGTTTTGCTATATGGATTTATTGCATAGTGAGGTCTGGGCTTTTAGTGTAACCATCATTGAATAGTGTATACTGTACACATTGGGTAATTTTTCATCCCCACTCCTTCTCCCTCTCCTGCTTCTTCACCCTTCTGAGTCTCCATTGTCTATTATTTCACTCTCTATGTCCATGTGAACACATTATTTAGCTCTCACTTACAAGTAAGAACATGTGGTATTTGACTTTCTAAGTTACTTCACTTAAGATAATAGTTTCCAGTTCCACCCATGTTGCTGCAAAAGACATGAATTCAATCTTTTATATGGCTGAGTAGTATTCTATGGTGTATATGTACCACACATTCTTTATCCAATCCTTTTTTTTTTTTTTTTTTTTTGATGGAGTCTTGCTCTGTCATCTGGGCTGGGGTGTAGTGGCACAATCTCAGCTCACTGCAACCTCTGCCTCTTGGGTTCAGGTGATTCTTCTGCCTGAGCCTCCCAAGTAGCTGGGGTTACAGGTGCCTGCCACCACACCGGGCTAATTCTTTATATTTTTAGTAGAGATGGGGTTTCACCATGTTGGCCAGGCTAGTCTCAAACTTCTGACCTCAAGTGATCACCTGCTTTGGCCTCCCAAAGTGCTGAGATTACAGACATGAGCCACAGCACTAGGTCTACCCAAACATTTGCTGATGTCCACTTAGGTTGATCTGTGACTTCACTATTGTGAAAGTGCTGTGATAAACATATGAGCAGCTATCTTTTCTATATAATGATTTATTTTCCTTTTTGTAGAGGTATCAGTTTTCTTTATAGCCTCTGCTTTGTGCCTGATTTCTTAGCACTTAGTAAGAGAAAGCCAAGTGGCAGCCTTGCCAGCTGTGCAGCCTTCCCTTCTATCCTGCTGAAGATAGTATGACAGGCAGTAAGGAGAGGGCTGATTTTACCAGGGCCAATGAACTTCTCATGGCCTTGTTTAAATCTTTCTGAATTTAGCCATCAAGAACACATTCCTTTAGAAAATCCCTTCCTTCAGTGTCCAAAGGTATAGGACTAGCTATGGCTCCCAGATTAGAAGAGACTGACCTTTCCTAGATTTCTACCAAAGTTGATGTGATGTGATGGCTCAGTCTCTAAGGAAACCAAGTCACTAAGAAAAAAAATGTTTCATCTGGGCACAGTGGCTCATGCCTGTAATCCCAGCACTTTGGGAGGCCAAGGCGGATAGATCATGAGGTCAGGAGTTCAAGACCAGCCTAGCCAACATGGTGAAACCCTGTCTCTACTAAAAATACAAAAAATTAGCTGGGCGTGGAGGCAGGTGCCTGTAATCTCAGCTACTTTAGAGGCTAGGAGAATTGCTTGAACCCAGCAGGTAGAGGCTGCAGTGAGCCAAGATCATGCCATTGTACTCCAATCTGGGCAAGAGAGCAAGACTCTGTCTTGAACAACAACAAAAAAAGGCAAAGAAAAAAGTGTTTCATAATTGATGTTTGTTAAAGTCCTTAGATTTAATGATACATAAATGGTGGATATGAAAATAATAATTGGCTGGGTGCAGTGGCTCACACCTGTAATCTTAGCTTTTTTTCTTTTTTTGAGACAGAGTGTGACTCTGTCACTCAGGCTGGAGTGCAGTGGCGTGATCTTGGCTCACTGCAACCTCTACCTCCCAGGTTCAAGCGATTCTCCTGCCTCAGCCTCCCGAGTAGCTGGGATTACAGGTGTCCACCACCACACCCAGCTAATTTTTGTATTTTCAGCAGAGACAGGGTTTCACCATATTGGCCAGGCTGGTCTCAAACTTCTGACCGCAGGTGATCTGCCCGTGTTGGCCTCCCAAAGTGCTGGGATTACAGGTGTGAGCCACTGTGCCTGATCTGATCCTAGGATTTTGGGAGGGGCTTGCTTGAGGCCAGGAGTTTGATATCAGCCTAGGTAACGCAGGGAGACACCCCATCTCTACAAAAAAAATTTAAAAATTAGCTAGGTATGGTAGCACATGCTTGTCATCCTATGCTGGAGGCTGAGGTGGGAGGACTGCTTGAGTGCAGTCTGCAGTGTGCCATGATCACACACACCACTGTACTCTAGCCTGGGCAACAACAACAACGAAATAGATAAGAGAAAAGAATAATTGTTGTTGCTATATTATTTTCTTTTTGGCGGTTGCAATCTTAATTCCTAGCATCACTGTTAAACATTTAACATTCACCATTTATCAGGATATAGTTTAGAAATTCAAAGCAGCTCAAAGCAAATGAAATTAGCAACAGCTTAAAACAAAACAAAACCAAGTGAAAACCTACAGGCTGCTAAGTGTTTATCCAACAATGAACTGGGCGGTATGAATAGGAGGAGGACTACAGTTCAAAGAATTGAAACTCATGTCCCAACAAGCTAAAAGCTACTAAAAGAGTTTGAGTATAATAGCCTTTTACCCACCTTCCAACACTCTTAACAAAAATTCATGACACAGAATGATGTTTGAAACAATGGGTGTTTTATTTTAACATTTCAAGTCCAAGGTGTTCATGTTTATTACTTGAGTTTGGAATGCCCAGATGGCTGCACTAGGAAACTGATCAAACATCCTTGAGTCTTGTTGGAATGCAACATACGGTTAATACATATAGCCTCTGCTTTGTATCTGATTTTCTTAGCACTTAGTAGGAGAGAGGCAGGCGGCAGCCTTGCCAGCTGTGTGGCCTTCCCTTCTATCCTACTAAAAGTGGCATGACACCAGGGAGAGGGCTGATTTGACCAGTGCAGGTTGCCCAAGCAATTTTAAAACACACTATTATTATAATGATTTTGAGTACATCTTAATGAAAGCTACATTCAAAGTATAGTGGAGAGATAGATGACAAATAAGATTTCATTAAAAGGACTTGAAAAACAGAACATTTCCATAAAAGTTTGAAATAGATGGCTCTTGGGTGCTCAATCTTTTCCATCTTTACAACTTCACCTATGTGCACTGTATAGTCATTACTCCCCTTGAGAAAAGCCTCCTTTCCAGACTTTTTTCCTCCTCAAGTCCTTTCCCAAAGCTGCTGCCAAAATCAACTTCCTCTGTTGCCATTCTGACAATGTCACTCCCTTCCTAAAATTCCCTTTAATGGTCTCTGTTGGTCTTTATTCGAGAGGCAGATTTCTTGTGCTGCCTTTAGGACAAACACACTATTTATTTATTTAAAACTCAGATTTATTTAAGGCTCCTGCCTATTTTTACAAATCCACATGTCACTTCCCTCTCTATGCAGACTGATTACCTTTCAATGCCTTCTTTATATTTATTAATGTTTAGATTGTAAATATTTTCTCTAGTTTTGGCCAATAAGAGTTCCTTATTTTACTGCTATCCTTTTCTCATCTCTACCCCAGTGCTAATCTATACACACTAAAAGTCTCTGGAGCTATTCTCCCAAAATTTGATTATTTTTGAAGAATTACACAAGAAATCATGCACTAAAAATTTTAAGTACTTTTAAAGAATTAAAAATAATATTGTGGAATTTCCCTAATGCATGAAAAGACCTTTCAAAATGAGTCACATGGCCAGGTGTGGTGGCTTATGCCGGTAATCCCAACACTTTGGGAGGCCAAGGCAGATGAATCACCTGAGGTCAGGAGTTCAAAACCAGCCTGGCCAACCTAATGGAACCCCGTCTCTACTAAAATAAGTACAAAAATTAGCCGGGCATGGTGGCAGATGCCTGTAATCCCAGCTACTGGAGAGGATGAGACAGGAGACTCGCTTGAACTTGGGAGGTAGAGGTTGCAGGGAGCCAAGATCGTGCCATTGCACTCTAGTCTGAGTGACAAGAGTGAAACTCCATCTCAAAATTTAAAAAAGAATAATAGTCAGCCGCATCCCCATCCCGCAGCCATGGCCGTCCACAAACTGGTGCTGATTTGGCACAGTGAGAGAACGTGGAACTGGATGGAGAACTGCTTCAGCGGCTGGTACGACGCCAACCTGGGGCTCGCGAGCCACAAGGAGGCGAAGCGCGGCAGGCAGGCGCTGCTAGATGCTGGCTATGAGTTTGACCTCTGCTTCACCTCAGAGCAGAAGAGAGCGATCCGGATCCTCTGGACAGTGCTAGATGCCATCGATCAGATGTGGCTGCCAGTAGTGAGGACCTGGCGCCTCAATAAGCGGCACTGCAGGTGTCTAACTGATCTCAATAAAGCAGAAACTGCTGCAAAGCATGGTGAAGCCCAGGTGAAGATCTGGAGGCGCTCCTATGATGTCCCACTGCCTCCGATGGAGCCCGACCATCCTTTCTACAGCAACATCAGTAAGGATTGCAGGTATGCAGACCCCACAGAAGATCAGCTACCCTCCTGTGAGAGTCTGAAGGACACCACTGCTTCAGCTCTGCCCTTCTGGAATGAAGAAATAGTTCCCCAGATCAAGGAGGGAAAACAGGTACTGATTGCAGCCCATGGCAACAGCCTCCGGGGCATTGCCAAGCATCTGGAGGGTCTCTCTGAAGAGGCTATCATGGAGCCTTACCTGCCAACTGGTATTTCCATTGTCTATGAATTGGACAAGAATTTGAAGCCCATCAAGCCCATGCAGTTCCTAGCGATGAAAAGACCGTGGGTAAAGCCATGGAAGCTGCGGCTGCCCAGGGCAAGGCCAAGAAGTGAAGACCAGTGGGCAGGCTGCTGTCCCCAGGAACACCCTCCCTGCCTGTTGTGTCCCTCTACCCCTCCCTCCTGCACATGTCACACTGACCAAATCTGTAGACATCTTGAATTGTAGCTGCAGACGGGGACTGGTGGCTCTCATTTTCATTTTAGCCATTTTGTCTCCTGCACCCACTCCCTTCAAACATTCTAGTCAGAAAAGCACTTCTAGGACACAGGTTCTCAGTCCAAGCTGTGGAAAGGCTCCCCTAATCCAAGAGAGTTTAAAGGTAGTGACCTGGGTTTTTGCAAGTGCTTTGTTTACTAAGGACTTGTAGGGAGGAACCATGCTAAGCCGTGACCAATGAGGAGAAGCAAGAGAGCTTGTCTGCCCCCCAGGTGCCAGTCCTCTGCTGCCTGCAGTCAGGCCACTGCCTGGGGACTCTAGTCATTCCAGTGGAAGATGAATGTAACCTGCATGGTGATGTGACAACTGTTTCCTCCCTGACCGGTCACCAGAGGAGCTGCCTCTAGAAGGTTGGATCAATCCTGAATTTAGTTTAGGTGTTACATTTACTTTTATATATATATTTTAAAGTATAGTATATATAAATAATACAAAACAGTAACCCTTCTGGGGTTTCTTGTGGCAGTTGAAATAGTAGCATATGTGGCCATCAGAAAATAAGCCATTCCTCATACCAACATGGGATCAGCTCCTTGACCTCTGAGGGGCAGGAATGCTTCCTGCTGTGTGTTTTCGAATCCCTCCTGCCTTGTTTTGTGGCAGTGAAATGCCTCTTGGTTCTGTCCAAGTGTCTGTTTCACTGATTTCTGAATCGTGTTCTAGTTGCTTGGCCCAGCCATATAGGTCCAGTGTTCATTTGAGCATAACTGTACTGAATCCTTTTTCAGTATAATAAAGGAGTGACGTGCAATAAACAACAACAAAAAAAAAGTCACAGGAAAAATTATCTAATATTATGGCCATGGACAACTTCTAGGAAAAGGTTCTCTGGATTCTGAAACACACTAATGCTATGTTCTTTTATTTCATCTTTTTTTTTTTTTTCTTTTTAACCTAGAATTCAAGACCCAGTTTGGTTATTTGCAAATTGTGGATTTTTGTCATTTAATCTCTTTGAGCATCAGTTTCTTGTTGGTAAAATGGAAATAATATCTATATGGGCTTTTTGGACAATTCAATGGCATTCATAAAGTAAAAACTGTTATACAAATACAAGAGATTATTATTACTTCCTTCAAGTGTTCCCTTTCAATTGTGAACTTTCCCAGGATTTCCCCTTTTCATACATTTTTATTTATTTTTATTTTTTAGAGACAGTATTGCTCAAAGGCTGGAATTCAGTGGTACCACAATAGCTCACTGCAGCCCCAAATTTCTGGGCTCAAGTGATCCTCCTGCCTCAGCCCCCAAAGAAGCTAGGACTGCAGGTGTGCATGCCCGGCTAATTTTTTATTTTTTACTTTATAGAGGTGGGGGTCTCACTGTGTTGCCCAGGCTGGTCTCGAATTCCTGGCTTCAAGCAGTCCTTTTGCCTTGGCCTCCCAAAGTCCTGGAATTAGAGGCATGATTCTAATTCTACCTGGCCGCACACATTTTTATCGGTGATAAGTCTAGTAGTGTTGTTATAGACCTACCATTTAAATGGGAAACTGTGCTAAAGCTCTCTGAGCTACTGATAGTATTGCTAATATTTTATTCTCTCAATCATTACTATATTTTACAGGAAACCAGACATACTAATTTTATTTTTTCCTGATTATAATTTTTAAAATATAGAAAGCTTATAGGAGAAAATAAAATTTATTGGAAACTTCACCATCTCCCACCAGAGAAACCCAACTGTTAAAATTTTGGTGTATTTTTTTTCATATTTTTTCCAGGCACCTTAAATGAATTATCTAATTTGTTCTTCAAAACAACCTTGTGACCTAGGTGCTAATACCATGTTCTACCTTTCACGGAAGAAAAAAATCTGTTCAGAGACATGAACTTGCTGAAAGTCATACAGGTCAGGTGATCAGGTTAGGAATTGAATGCTGGCTGCCTGATGCTAGAGTCCTTACTGTTAAGCACTTGGTTCTTTTATCTTTATTCTATCTACAATGCTGTAATTCCATTGTGCCATTTGTGCACCACTTTTTCATCTACCATAAAATAGTGATCGTTTTACTATGCTATTATATATTCACTTACAATATGAATTTTAATAGTCTTTGTGGCATGGATATCATAATTTATCTAATTCTCCCCTATTATGAGATATTTATTTTCATTTTTTTACTGTCATATTCATTTTTAAAGTGATAATTATATATATGTTCAATATTAAAATCCCCTGTATGCCATTCTCCAAAGAGAAACTCCATCCTCTTTCTCTCTCTCTCTATTTTTGAGTTGAACATTCCTAACAGTTTAGTATATATTCTTCCAGGATTATTATTTTATTTTATTAAAAATGTTTTTACCTTAATTTTGGGAGTACATCCTAGGTATAATTATTTTATTTTTTGACAAAAACAATGAATTCATCTCTATGTGTCTTGCATCTTGCCTTTTTGGCTTTGCTGTATTTTACAGACATCTTTCATGTTGGTTCATGTATTTATCAGGACTTTTTGTAGCAAAAATTAGACATCAGTTTAAACTAGATCAGATTAAAAAGGATTTTTTTTTTTCCTGCAAAGTCCAGAGGTAGATATGTACCCCATGTGCAGCTGGATCCAACTACTCTCAAGATAGCGTCAAGAAACCTTTCTCTCTTCCATTCTGGTCTCTGCTTTCCTTTGCAGTGACTTCCTTCCAAGGCAGGAACCAACAGTTGAGCAATCCCAGTGGACGAAGTATGCCTTTTGCCAATACTTTCAGCTAAGATCTCAGTGTGGACAACAGCCTAGCTTGAGACGTGAGCGCATAGCTAGAACCAAGGAGTGGAATCAGCCTCAACCTCACCACACTGACTGAAAGGGAAGAATGCTTTGTTTTGCAAAAGAAAATCAAGGCATTGCTACCAAAAGAAGAGAGGCATCTGGGAAGCTGCAACAATGAGCATTTGCTATGGTACATATGGATCTACTTATGATGTGAGCTAGACGTTTTTGGCAATTGGATTATCGTTTGTTCAACTATTATTTTCAGAGATTGGGTATTGCTCTATTGACCAGACTGGAGTACAGTGGTGTGACTGTAGCTCACTGCAAATAAATATGGAGGAAGTGATAGTGTGTGATCTCTGACACTAGGTCATACAGGGCATTACAGCTTCCTCCTCTACTTCTCACATCACTCACTCTGCAGAAGCCTGATGCCTGATCATGAGGACACTCAACCAGCACGAAGGAGAGGAACTAAGGCCCCTGTCAGCAACTGTGTCAGTAAGCTGCCTTGGAAGTGGATACTGTAGCCCCAAGAGAGCCTTCAGATGATTGCAAACCCAGTCTGCATATTCATCACAGCCTTGTAAGAGATCCTGAGGCAGAGCCACACAACACCTACTCCCAAATTTCTGAGCCACAAAAACTGCCAGATAATAAACGTGTGTTGTTTTGAGCTGCTAAATTTTGGGATAATTTATTACACAACAATGAAAACTAATACAGGGACTATACAGATGGTAAGCAATTTGAAACCTTGTTTGGTCAATTCTATAACTTACTTTGGGTAAATGTGAAAAAAGACATAAGATTTATGATATGGTAATAATCCCAGCTACTCAGGAGAGGATCACTTGAGCCCAGGAGTTCAAGGCTGCCATGAGCTTTGATCGTGCCATTGTACTCCACTCTGAGTGACAGAGCGAGACCCCCATCTCTTAAAAAAAAAAAATTATCAGAAATCTCTCTTGTCCTTTTTATGAAAATTTTTCTTTGTATTCTATATTCCAGTCTGTTTAGTTAACAGTTGTTTAGAAAAAAAATTCAATGCTAAGCAATTTTACTTTTGTATTTTGTATGGATTATACAGCTATATGCTGGCTTTATAAATTAATGATCTCTAGAAAAGAAAATATTCATACTCTGTTTTCTAAAATTAAAGCCATCCCAATTTTATTCATTCAGTTTCATGTCTGGCTTCTTTTGCATTTGTCATTTAAATTTCGAAAAACAGGCCAGGCACGGTGGTGGCTCATACTTGTAATCCCAGCACTTCGGGAGGCTGAGGCAGGTGGATCACCTGAGGCCAGGAGTTTGAGACCAGCCTGGCTAACATGGTGAAACCCCATCTCTACTAAAGGTACAAAAATTAGCCGCATGTGGTGGCAGGTACGTGTAGTCCCAGCTACTGGGGAGGCTGAGGCAGGAGAATCACTTGAACCCAGGAGGCAGGCAGAGGTTGCCGTGAGCCAGGATCATGCCCCTGCACCACAGTGAGACCTTCTCTCAAATAAATAAATAAATTTGGAAAAACATTTTAAAGAAGATATTCCAGTTTTTTGCTTTCATTAGGACACTTTTTTGGGGGAACTTTGGAAAAGGACTTTGCATTTTGTTAGTTTTCATTATTTTCCTAAATCACTTTTATGAATTTTTTCTCTTTTTTCTACTCGGGAAAATCTTTTCTCTTTAGATTATATCATAGAGAATGTTTAAAACCCACTTCAAATTCTGGATTTTTAAAATTACACCACAGATACACAGAATAAGATTGATTTGACTAATCATACTCTGGTTGATAGCCCAGAATTATCCCTGCCCTTGCCCTTTTAAATTAACTTTAGTCCCTCCCTCCCTCCCTCCCTTCCTTCCTTCCTTTCATTCCTTCCTTCCCTCCCTTCTTACTTCCCTTCTTCCTTCCTTCCTCCCTCCCTCCCTTCCTTCCTGCCTCCCTTCCTCCCTCCTTCTTTCCCTGTCTCCCTCTCTCTCTCTCTCTCTCTCTCTCTATGAGATGGAGTCTCCCTCTGTAGCCCAGGCTGAAGTGCAGTAGCGTGATCTTGGCTCACTGCAACCTCTGCCCCCCAAGTTCAAGTGATTCTCTTGCCTCAGCCTCCCAAGTAGCTGAGACTACAGGCACAGACCACCACACCTGGCTAATTTTTGTATTTTTAGTAGAGACGGCTTTCACCATGTTGGCCAGGATGGTCTCAATCTCTTGACCTCGTGATCCACCCACCTCGGCCTCCCAAAGTGCTGGGATTACAGGCATAAGCTACTGCACCCGGCTTTCACTCTGTTGCCCAGGCTGCAGTGCAGTGGTGCCATCACAGCTCACTGCAGCCTCAAACTTTTGGGCTCAAGTGATTCTCCTGCCTCAGCCTCCAGGGTAGCTGGGACTACAGGCACAAACCACCAACAGGTGGCTATTTAAAAAAATTTTTGTGTGTAGAGACAGGGTTACCCAGGCTGATCTCAAACTTCTACCCTCAAATGATCCTCCTGCCTGAACCTCCTGAATAGCTGGAACTACAGTGGTTATGAATTTGTTTAAAATACAGATTCTGATTGAGTAGGTCTGAACAGGAGCTCAAGATTATAGTGAGCTATGATTGAGCCACTGCACTCCAGCCTGGGTGAAGAGCATAATCCTGTCTCAAAAAACAAAAATAAAAAAATCTGAGAGGCACTGATCTAGAGCATGGACTAGATCTAAATCCTGGATCTACCACTTATTAGCAATCTGAACTTCAGTAAATTATATGACATCCTTGTATCTCAAATTCCTCATGTATAGAGTGGGGATAATAGTACCAAGTACCTATTGGGTTGTTATAAGGATTCATATGAGATTGCTCCAAAGTGTTTAGAATAGTACCTGACTCACACTAAGTGTGTAATCAATGTTAGGCATTATTATTTATTCCCTTTCTTGCCTCTTTTTAAAAGTATGTTTCTTGATCTCTTCCCATCATTTTAATCACTGGTTTCCAGTTGCAGGCTGGCCTAAGCAAAATTAACTGAGAGCTCTTAAAAATTTAGATTCCTCCTTCTCTCATCTCTGAAGATTCTGCTTCAGTAGATTTGGGGAGGGGCTCCAGAGAATCTGTATTTTTAAAAACTTCCCAAGGCGATTTGATGCTCAAACTCACTGCTTTAAATGTGGGTGTTTCCCAGTGTTCATTTTACTCTTTTGCTACTATGACATCAACTTCATCTATGGCCTGATGTCTCCAGCCCAGATGTTTTCCTGAGCCCTACATCAGGCACTGTTACTTTGTACCAGGTACTGTTCTAAGAATTTTACATGTATCATGTTATTTCGTTCTTAGAATAAGAGGTGGATACTATTAAAGTACTATTTTTACAAACCAGGGGACCTAAGCACACTCAATGTCATAGAGGTAATAGCTCCAGACCAATACATCCAGCTGCTCACTACAGCTCTCCACTAGGGTATTGTGCTGTTTTGTATAGGTTCTCTCCAAAACTCAGGTGTTGCAAATACGATGCTATTAAGAGGTGGGGCTAGCCAAATGCAGCGGCTCAAGTATATAAACCCAGCATTCTGAGAGGCCAAGACAGAAGGATCACTTAGCCCAGGAGTTCAAGACCAGATTGGACAAGGTGGTGAAACCTCATCTCTACAAAAAATTAGCTGCGTGTGGTGATGTGCATCTGTAATCCCAGCTACTAAGGAAGCTGAGGTGGTTCAATTACCTAAGCCTGAGAGTTTAAGGCCACCGCGAGTGGTGACTGCGCCACTGTACTCCAGGCTGGGTGACAGAGTGAGCCCTATCTCCAAAAAAGAAAAAAAAAAAGATGGTGCCTTTAAGAGGTGATTAGGCCTTGAGGGCTGCTCTCCCTCCACTCCTCCCACTTTTTTTTTAAGACAAGAGTTTCATTCTTGCCCGGGCTGGAGTGCAATGGCACAATCTTGGCTCACTGCAACCTCTGCCTCTGGGGTTTAAGTGGTTGTCCTGCCTCAGCCTCCGAAGTAGCTGGGATTAGGCATGCCACATCACACCCTGCTAACTGTGTATTTTTAGTAGAGTTGGGGTTTCTCCATGTTGGTCAGGCTGGTCTCGAATTCCCGACTTCAGGTGATCTGCCTACCTCAACCTCCCAAAATGCTGGGATTACAGGCATGAGCCACCATGCCCGGATGGCTGCTCCCTTATTGATGGGATTAAGGACCTTATAAAAGAGGTATTGCAGCATTTGGCTGACTTGCCCTAACCCCTTCCTCCACATGAGGACATAGTGTTCCTCCTCCCTCTGAAAAACAAAGCCCTCACCATACAGTTGAACCTGCTGGTGCGTTAATCTTGGACTTCCCAGCCTCCAAAACTATAAGAAATAAATTTCTGTTCTTGGTAAATTACCCGGCCTGTGGTATTCCATTACAGCAGCACAAAGGAAGCAAGATAATTGTAAACTCAGCACGTCCAACACTCAGCTGATATATATGTTTCTCCCTCAATCAAATTTTTCTCCCTCTAGTATTCTCTACGGCAGTCAGTGGTCCTACCACCCAGTACTGTTACCAAACCTGAGAGTCATTCTTGTTCTCTTCCTCTTTAACAACCCTCCTTAGTTGGTAACTGCATCCCTTTGATTATATGTTTCATTATTTCTTAAATCTGTTCACCTGTCTTCATCACCATTTCAACCATCTTAGTTCACGTCTTCATTCTTTTTCCTTGTATTAGTAAAACAACCTTAATTAAATATAGCTTTTCTCCTTGCCTTTAATTTAATCTGTTAGCTACACAGCTCAGAGTGATTTTTCTGAAATTCAAATCTGATTATATTTCCATTTCCTCGTTTAAAATCCATCTGTGGCTTTCCCTATTGCCTTCAAGATAAAATGTAAAGACCAGGTGCAGTGGCTCATGCCTATAATCCCAACACTTTGGGAGGCCGAGGCAGGCAGATGACCTGACATCAGGAGTTCGAGACCAGGCTGGCCAACATGGTGAAAACCCATCTCTGCTTCAAATACAAACAAATTAACCGGGCATGGTGGCGGGCACTTGTAATCCCAACTACTCGGAAGGCTGAGGCAGGAAGAATTGCTTGAACCTGGGAGGTGGAGGTTGCAGTGAGTTGAGATTGCACCACTGCACTCCAGCCTGGGCAACAGAGTGAGACACAGTCTCAAAAGAAAAAAAAATTTTTTTTAAGATAATATGTAAAATCCTAATTATGACATTTGAGGCCCTTCATATTATGGCCTCTGTCTACCTTATCTGCTCTTATCACCTTCTCTCTGCCACTTTATTCTCTAGCTATTACTAATAACATTTGTAGGATGCCCAAGCACCCAGTCTTTCACCTGTTATTGCATATGCTGCCTAAGCATCCACTCCCTTGTTCTTCCCTTGGCTAACTAATTGCAGTCCCTCACAATCACCTCTCCCAGAAAGTTTGGCCTGCTATGTTTTCCTCTAATGACCTGGGCTCCTTTTAATCACAGTAGTGACTTCATTGCATTATAAACTTCAAACTTAAGTCCTTAACCATATGGGTTCCAAAGTCAGACTGTATGGATTTGAATCCTAGCATCACTGGTTACTATCTCTGTGACATTAAGTATGCTTCTTCATTTCAGCGCTTTGGTCCCCTTGTTTGTAAAATATTATTTAATAGTATCCACCTCTTATTTTGAGAACTAAATGAAATGATACATGCAAAATTCTTAGAACAGTGTCTGATGCTTGACAAATATTAGATATTCTTACTATCTCTGCCAAAAATAGCTAGACTTTCAGGAGCAGAGTATATGTAAGTGTGTTTTGAGATGGAGTCTCACCCTTTGAGACAGAGTCTCGCTTTCTCACCCAGGCTGGAGTGCAATGGTGTGATCTTGGCTCACTGCAACCTCCGTCTCCCGGGTTCAAGCGATTCTCCTGCCTCAGCCTCTTGAGTAGCTGGGATTACAGGTGCTTGCCACTACATCTGGCTAATTTTTGTATTTTTAGTAGAGATGGGGTGTTTCACCATGTTGGTCAGGCTGGTCTCAAACTCCTGACACTGTGATCCACCCACCACGGCTTCCCAAAGTGCGGGGATGACAGATGTGAGCCACGGCGACTGGCTGTTTTTAAGAGATGAGATCTTACTACATTGTCCAGGCAGGCCTCGAACTTCCTGGGCTTAAGGGATTCTCTTATCCAGTCCCTGTCATATGATATATGCTCATTAATGACTATTGCTTATTTATTTAGTCTTTTAAAAAATATTATTTAAGCACCTAAGTGCCAGGCACTGTTCTAGGCACTAGGGATACATCAGTGAAAAAATTAAAATCCTGCCTCATGGTGCTTACCTATAGACAGACAAGGAATGAGTAAAACAATAGGTTGGGTTGTAATAAGTGCTACCAGAGGTGGGGAAAAGCAGGGAATAGGAGAGGGATAGGAAATGCCTGCAATGGATAGTGACTGAGGATGGGAGAAAAAGAAGTGAGGAGTTGCAATTTTTTTTTTTTTTGAGACTGAGTCTCACTCTGTCACCCAGGCTGGAGTGCAGTGGCATGATCCTCCCACCTCAGCCTTCCAAGTAGTTGGGATCACAGGCACACACCACCATACCTGGCTAATTTTTCGTATTTTTAATAGAAACAGTTTTGCCATGTTGTACAGGCTGGTCTCGAACTCTTGAGCTCAGGCCATCCATCCACCTTGGACTCCCAAAGTGTTGAGATTACAGGTATGAACAACTATACCCAGCCTGATCCCTTCTCATTAGATCTCCCGCTACCACCTTGATTCACATCATCATGATCTCTTGCCTAAATTATTGCAGAAGTCCCCAAACTGGCCTCCAGGTCTTGCTTCACTTTACTCTTAACACAGTAGCCAGAGTGATCTTATTAAAATCCAAGTAGATGGCCACTTCTTTACTCAGAACCCTCCAAATGGCTTCCCATTCTCCAATAAAAGCCAAAGTCTTTACAATGGCATAGGAGGCCCTTCAGTCTTTTTTCCCTTTTCCTCCAGACTTTATACTCCACCATGCTTTCCCTCGTTAATTACACTCCAGCAACACTGCTCTTGCATTTTCTCAAACATGCCAAGCAGGTACCCATCTCAGGCTCTATGTAATTGCCCTCAGATAGCTGCATAATACAATTCACCACTCCTGGGTAAGGCAGAGGTTCCAGTGAGCCAAGATTGTGCCACTGTACTCCAACCTGGGTGACAGAGTGAGATCCTGTCTCAAAATAATAATAATAATAATGGATCAGATTATGGATATACTTTAAAGGTAAATCCAATATAAGTCACAAAAAAATTTTATGTAGAGAGAGAAAGAAGAGTCAAGGATGCCTCCACAGATTTTAGTCAAATAAAATGGAAAAAGGAGTGCCTTTAAATGAGATGGAGAAGACTGAAAAGAAGTGTTTCATTTTTTTTCTTTTGTAGTGTTAAAGACCAGAAATTTGGTTTCAGCTATGTAAAGTTTTGAGATGCAAATTAGATACATGTAGGCAGACATATGCATCTGAAGTTCCAGAGTGAGGTCTATACTCAAAAACCAAATTTAAGGCTGGGCAGTGGCTCATGCCTGTAATCCCAGCACTCTGGGAGGCCGAGGTGGATCATTTGAGGTCAGGAGTTCAAGACTGGGCAACAGGGTAAAACCTTGTGTCTACTAAAAATACAAAAAATTAGCCAGGCATGGTGATACATGCCTATATTCCCAGCTACTTGGGAAGCTGAGGCTTAGACCCAGGAGGTGGGCAACAGAGAGAGACTTCGTTAAAAAAAAAAAAAAAAAAAACACCTAAATTTGGCATTTACCATATGCTATTTAAAGCCTTGAAACCAGTGTAGGTTACCAAGAAAGTGACTACCAAGATGTCTAAGGTCTGTCTGAGTCAAAGCCACCCCAAAATTTGGAAATCAGAGAGATGAGAAAGAACCAGCAAAGGAAACTGAAAAACAGTGGTCAGTGAGATAGAGGGAAAAAAGGAAAAGGGGGCCAAATTTTTGAACAAAGTGAAGAGAATAAAGGAGTGACTGTGTCAAAAGTTTAGAATAGGTCACATAATACAACAATTGAGAATTGAAAGATGGAAAGACTGATTTAGTAACACAAAGGTCATGGAGTCTTTGATGAGGACATTTGCCATGGAAGGGCTAGGGTAAAAGTGTTTGGAGTGAGCCCAAGAGAAACTGGGAAGAGAAGAATTAGACACAGGAAGTGGAGATAATTCTTTCAAGGAGTTTTGTCATAAAAGAGCAAATAAATGAGGATATGAAGTCAAGAAAAGCTTTGGGATTTTTGTTGTTAAAGGTGAGAATCATAACTCGTTTATAAGCTGATGGGAGTTTTCTTACAGTGAAGAGAAATCAGGGATGGGAGACGGAGTGGGTAGAACTGTTGGAGGTGAGTACCTTGAGTAGGTGCTCAACCTTGAGTAGGTGAACACCTTGAGTAGGTGAAAGAGGATGCAATCTACCTCACAAGTACAGGGCTGGTCCTGGATAGGAGCACAGGCAGAAGAGCTGTGTGTGTCATGGCGGAAAGACACTATACGGGTATAGGTACAGAAGAATTCCACAAACTCTTGTCATGACATCTATCCTGCATGATGTGGAATTCCGATTGCTTCTTTAAAGAAATATCACAACACTTTTTTTTATTACATACTATGATTTTTCATTTAACGAAATATTTTTAAAAGGGCCTGGTATACGTGACATTGTTGATATGGTGGGGGGTCCCTTTACTTACAGGATCAATACTGTGGGTGAAACAAGTAGACAAACAATTGTGATGTAGTAAGCGTTATCCTAAAGGCATGTGAAAATGCTGCAGGAACTGGTTAGGCACAGTGGCTCACACTTGTAATCCCAGTACCTTGGGAAGTGGAGGTGGGTAGATTGCTTGAGCCCAAGAGTTTGAGATCAGCCTGGACAACATGATGAAACCCCGCCTCTATAAAAAATACAAAAATTAGTTGGGCATAGTGGCACGTGCCTGTAGTCCGAGCTACTCAGGAGGCCGAGGTGGGAGGCTTACTTGACCCAGAGAGGTAGAGATTGCAATGAGCCGGGAATCAGCTCCACTGTGCTCCAGCCTGGGTGACAAAGTGAGATCCTGTCCCAAAGGGGAAACAAACAAAAACAGACCTAAAGCTGCTAATATTTTAGATTTGTGGCCTGCAAACTTCTAGCATTTTCTATAACAAGCATCAAACTTGCTTCTATATCGAAAAGTATTTGGCACTTGAGTTAAAGTTTTAAAAACATTTTTTCCATGTGACACTTTTCTTAAGAGGAGCTCCTGAATAACTACTTAAATATTACCATTGGCTAGAATTTTAAGCATTTGGTGAGAGTTGTAAAAAATATATAAACTTTCAGAGAATAAAAATGTAAGACTTTTTTAGAAGTTATTAATAATAAATTAGAAGTTATTATTAATAATAAATTATTTTGTGGTTCTAATCTCAATAAAAAAATTTCAAGACTGAGATTGATAAGTAGGACCCAGCTGCAAAATTCAAACCAGCTCCATGCAGCTGCACTCTGGTTCCTCTAATTCATCTAACAGCTCTTAGTGTGTTCTATAAGTGGCAATAGAAAAGGCACAGCAGATGTGCAAGATAGCTTCTGAAATCTAAAGTGAGACAGATGGTTCTCTGTTTGATTGACAGCACGAGGAGCACTGTAGCAAGGGTCACCTCCTGTGGAGGGTTTTTTTTCTCCTTGCTTCTGCCTGAAAATGAAACTGTCATATAAGAAAGAAAAGCAGGGGATGGCTATTCAGAAAGCCTTTTTTTTCCTTCAAATATTTCTTGTAGTGAAATCATAGAGTCACCAAATGTGAAAAAAACTCTCCTTCTCTAACCTTTGACTAAGAGCTGACTCTGCATATTTAAAGACAGATTGGTGTTTGAATGCAATATTCAGAATATTGGAGATAGACTTGGAATTAAGGCCAAAACAAAAATAATATAATCCACAAAATAGCATTGACTAGAGCTAATAGTGATCATTGGAAGCCCAATTTTCCCCTTAAAACTAAACTTTGGTTTTAAATTTTAATTACAAAGTTAGACCAACTATTTGCAATAGTTTACCAGGAATTGTCCTAAATTAACAGTCTAGACTAGATCGCTTTTATGCTTACCTCTCTCTCTCTTTTTCAAACTCCTTTCTAGTACTTTAAATCTTCAAGAAAAACAAACACCTGAGAGTTCATCACCTTACTCAGAACAGCGCACTATTTAAAACTTACGGAAAAAAAAAAAGAAAAACAAACAAAACCTCACATTTTCTGCATGCAAACCAAGTCCCGGATGCTGTCAGGTGCTTTAAAACTTATAACTTTCTATGATTCAGAATCTCAGAGATACTAATAGATTCTTCTTAGGTTCATATTAATACTGACACATGGGCTCCATGATTTTATTGATGATTCTCTTCATCTCTTCTGCTGAAAAAAAAAAGGAAAGCAAGCACAAAATATGCCTTAAAAGGATAATCCATATATTCAGATACATTCTGGTACTGCAGGATTTCTGAAGTCCTCTTAAATCATTTCTAGAAGAGGCTGGGCATGGTGGCTCACGCCTGTAATCCTAGCACTTTGGGAGGCCGAGGCGGGTGGATCACGAGGTCAGGAGTTTGAGACCAGTCTGGCCAACATAGTGAAACCGTGTCTCTACTAAAAATACAAAAAATTAGCTGAGTGTGGTGGTATGCACCTATAATCCCAGCTTCTTGGAAGACTGAGGCAGAGAATCACATGAACCCAGGAGACCAAGGTTGCAGTGAGCCGAGATCACACCATTGCACTCCAGCCCGGGCAACAGTGCGAGACTCCATCTAAAAGAGAAAAAAGAAAAAATTATCTAGAAGAAGTTCACACAATGGCAGATACAAGGTTTCTCTGTAGACAAGACTCAGAGATTGGCAATGTGTTTGCAAGAAGTAGCTGGGAGGTAATTGTCTTGAAACTTCATTTGCATGAAACTATGCTTTTTTTGGAGTGATCTGCAAAACCTGCCAGGGAATTTACATTTCTCGGTAAGCCTGTTTTTTGGACGGTCTTTAAGAAGTGCTGCACTTTGTCAAAGGTCTGAAAACTATAGTGGGTCTTACATACGAAAAAATCTTCACTCCTTGCTCTGCTCATGTACCCCAAAACCTATAATCCAATAAAAAATTAAAAAAAAAAAAAAAAAATCTTCACTCCTGAGGCTCATGAACTACACTAGGTTCTGACAATGTGGACAGGGCTGTCTCAGTTCTTGTCAAATTCTCAAATCCCTACTCTAGTGGCTAGGAGGAAATCACACTGCTGCATTAGCTAGCAGCTCAGAACCCCTACGGTCCCAACATTACTTTTCCTTTCATTTCCCATCACCTCTGTTTTAATGACAACAAAGCTTTTTGTGGCCAAGGTGTAAATTCATTGAGTATGAAATATTTACATTCCACTATCCAGTCAACATCATATTCTTTCAGCTTTCCTGCGTAGATAATCCACACATACCTGTTCTTTGGCATCATAGTGACTAGCAGATCTTTTGATAATCTTAACTTTATCCCTATCTGATTGTCTTCATTTCATCCCTACTCAACTTCAATTCCATTGCCCATAATGGAACCATTCTCTTGCCATTCTCTTCAGCCATTCTCTTGCCAATATCCTCAACTACTTTGTCTTTCTATCACAAATGTATAAAGTGGCCTGTATTCTGTAACTTTCATTACTGTCTTCCTCCTAGTCACACAGGATGAGTCAGTCCTTATTCCATTTATGTCGATTTATCCACCTGTGCATCTCTCTCTCTCTTGCTCTGTTTGGATATTCTATGCCAATATGTCCCAATCTTTTTTATATTGAGGCACATACGGAATAATGGAGTTCACTAGAATAAACTGGAGGCAACTGAAACATCTATATTAGCACTTAGTTGATATATAGTAACTGCAATTAAAAATACCAAATGCAAAGGAAGATAACAAAAGATAATAAATACTGGCTTTTACTGAATAAATATTGAATTTTATAAGACTTTGAAACAGTATCTTTTAAAACTTGGGCTTGCTTCTCAAAATCCAACTTCTTACTATTTACTATTAGGCTTAAATTTGAAATGGTAGCAGAGCACAGTGGCTCACACCTGTAATCTCAGCACTTTGGGAGGCCGAGGTGGGTGGATCACCTGAGGTCAGGAGTTTGAGACCAGCCTGATCAACATGGCAAAACCCTGCCTCTACTAAAAATACAAAAATTAGCTGGGCATGGTGACACATACTTGTAATCCCAGCTACTAGGGAGGCTGAAGCAAGAGAATCCTTTGAATCCAGGAGGCAGAGTTTGCAGTGAGCTGAGATAGTACCATTGCACTTCAACCTGGGTGACAGAGCGAGACTCTCTCCCCACCAAAAAAAGGGGGCAAAATGGCCGAATAGGAACAGCTCCCAGCAAGACCAATGCAGAAAGTATGTGATTTCTGCATTTCCAATTGAGGTACCGTTTATCTCCTTGGGACTGGTTAGGCAGTGCGTCCAATCCATGGAGAATGAGCAGAAGGAGAATGGGGTGTTGCTGCACCCGGGAATTGTAAGGAGCCAGGGACCTCCCTCCTCCAGAAAAGGGAAGCCATGAGGGGCTGTAGTGCCCAGCCTGGTTACTATACTTTTACCACAATTTTTGCAATCTGCAGATCAGGAGATTCCCACCAGAGCCCTGGGTTTCAAGCACAAAACGGGGAAGCTGTTTGGGCAGACACCAAGCTAGCTGCAGAAATATTTACTCATACCCCAGTGACACCTGGAACCCCAGCAAGACAAAACCATTCACTTCCCTGGAAAGGAGGCTGAAGCCAGGGAGCCACATGGTCTCACTCAGCGGGTCCCATTCCCACAGAGCCCAGCAAGCTAAGAACCACTGGCTTGAAATTCTTGCTGCCAGCACAGCAGTCTGAAGTCAACGTGGGATGATAGAGCTTGATTCAGGGAGTAGCATTTGCCATTACTGAGGCTTTAGTAGGTGGTTTTCCCCTAACAATGCTAAGGAGGCTGGGAGGTCTGCGCTGGGCTTGGCAAAGTGACTGGGGCCAGGCTGCTTCTCTAGATTTCTCCTCACTGGGCAGGGCATCTCCGAAGGAAAGGTAACAGCCCCAGTCAGGGGCTTACACACAAAACTCTCATCTCCCTAGGACAGAGCACTTAGGGGAAAGTGGGGCTGTGGGTACAGCTTCAAACGATTTACTAGTTCCCGCCTGCTGGCTCTGAAGAGAGCTGCTGATCCTGACACAAAGGATTCTCCCAGCACAGTGCACCAGCTCTGCTAAGGGACAAAGCCTCCTCAAGTGGGTCCCTGATCCCTGTGCCTCCTGACTGGGAGAGACCTCCCAACAAGGGTTGACAGACACCTTATACAGAAGAGCTCCAGCTGACATCAGGCTAGTGCGCCTCAGGAATGAAGCTTCCAGAGGAAGGAACAGGATGCAAACAAATGGAAAGACTTTCCATGCTTATGGACAGGAAGAATCAAAATTGTGAAAATGGCCATACTGCCCAAAGTAATTTATAGATTCAATGCTATTCCCATCAAGCTACCAGTGACTCATCACAGAATTAGAAAAAACTACTTTAAATTTCATATGGAACCAAAAAAGAGCCCATATTGCCAAGACTATCCAAAGCAAAAAGAACAAAGCTGGGAGCATCACACTACCTGACTTCAAACTGTACTACAAGGCTGTAGTAATCAAAACAGCATGGTACTGGTACCAAAACAGATATATAAACCAATGGAACAGAAACCTCAGAAATAACACCACGCATCTAAAACCATCTGATCTTCAACAAATATGACAAAAACAAACAATGGGGAAACAGCACCTACTTAATATATAGTGCTGGGAAAACTGGCTTATTCAATGCAGAAAACAGAAACTGGACCCCTTCCTTACAATTTATACAAAAATTAACTCAAGATGGATTAAAGACTTAAATGTAAAAACCCAAAATCATAAAAACCGTAGAAGAAAACCTAGGCAATACCATTCAGGACATCGACATGGGCAAAGACTTCATAACTAAAACACCAAAAGCAATTGCAACAAAAGCCAAAATTGACAAACAGAATCCAATCAATCTAAAGAGCTTCTGCACAGCAAAATAAACTATTATCAGAGTGAACAGGCAACTTACAGAATGGGAGAAAATTTCTGCAAGCTACCCATCTGACAAAGGTCTAATATCTAGAATCTACAAGGAACTTAAACAAATTTACAAGAAAAACAACCCCATCAAAAAGTCAGCAAAGGATATAAACAGACACTTCTCAAAAGAAGACATTTATTTATGTGGCCAACAAACATATGAAGAAAAGCTCATTATGATTGATCATTAGAGAAATGCAAATCAAAACCACAATGAGATACCATCTTACACCAGTCAGAATGGCGATTATTAAAAAAGTCAGGAAACAACAGAGGCTGGTGAGGATGTGGAGAAATAGGAACATACACTGTTGGCGGGAGTGTAAATTAGTTGAACCATTGTGGAAGACCGTGTGGTGCTTCCTCAAAGATCTAGAACCAGAAATACCATTTGACCCAATACCATTACTGGTATATACCCAAAGGATTATACATCATTCGACTATGAAGACACATGCATATGTATGTTTACTACAGCACTATTTACAATAGCAAAGATATGGAACCAACCCAAATGCCCATCAACGATAGACTGGATAAAGAAAATATGGCACGTAGTCCAGGCATGGTGGCTCAGGCCTGCAATCCCAGCACTTTGGGAGGCGGAGGCGGGCGGATCACGAGGTCAAGAGATCAAGACCATCCTGGCCAACATGGTGAAGCCCCGTCTCTACTAAAAATACAAAAAAATTAGCTGGGCGTGATGGCACATGCCTGTAGTCCCAGCTACTCAGGAGGCTGAGGCAGAAGAATTGCTTGAACCCAGGAGGCGGAGGTTGCAGTGAACCGAGGTTGCACCACTGCACTCCAGCCTGACACCTGGTGACGGAATGAGACTCTGTCTCAAAAAAAAAAAAAAAAAGAAAAAGAAAAAATGGCACATATATACCATGGAATACTATGCAGCCATAAAAAAAGAATAAGTCCATGTCCTCTGCAGGTACATGGATGAAGCTGGAAACCATCATTCTCAGCAAACTAACACAGGGACAGAAAACTAACCACCATATGTTCTCACTGATAAGTAGGAATTGAACAATGAGAACACATGTACACAGGGAGGGGAACATCATACACTGGGGCCTATTGGGGGGTGGAGAGCAAGGGGAGGGAGAGCATTAGGACAAACACATAATCCATGTGGGGCATAAAACCTAAATGGCAGGTTGATAGGTGCGGCAAACCACCATGGCACCTGTATATCTATGTAACAAACCTACATGTTCTCCACATGTATCCCAGAATTTAAAGTAAAATTAAGAAAAAGAAATATTGTAATGCTTAAAAAAATAGAAATGGCTATATACAGTTCCTTTTTAAAGTGATGATCTCTTTGAATTTATTTTTATTTTTATTGATTTTTAATTTTTTTAAAGAAGGTCTTGTTCTGTTGCCCAGGCTGGAGTGCAGTGGCATTATCATGGCTCACCGGACCCTCAAATCCCTGGGCATAAGTGCTCCTCTTGCTTCACACTCTCGATAAGCTAGGACTACAGGGGTGCCACAATGCCTCACCTTTTTTTTTTTCTTTCTTGTAGCGATGGAGTCTCACTATGTTGCCCAGGCTGGTCTCAAACTCCTGGCCTCATATGATCCTTCTGCTTTGGCTTCCCAAAGTACTCAGATAACAGGAGTGAGCCACTATACCTGGCCTTCTTTGAATTTTTGTTTTGTTTTGAAGACATGGCCTCACTCTTGTTGCCCAGGAGTGTCTCCCAGGCTCTAGTTGTTCCTCCCACCATAGCCTCCTAAGTAGCTGGGTCTACAGACGAGCACCATCATGCCTGGCTAATTTTTTGTATTTTTTGTAGAGATGGGGTTTTGCCGTGTTGCCCACACTGGTCTTGAACTCCTAAGCTGAAGGCTATCCACCTGCCTTGGCCTCCCAAAGTGCTGGGATTACAGGTGTGAGCCACTGAGCCCAGCCTGAATTTTTAATAGTTTCCATTAACAAGAAATTTTGAATGCAACAACCATTCAGTATTTACAATTGAAATTACCACAATAACTCTAAAACTTTTTTTTTTCTTTTTTTCAGATGGGATCTCACTCTTTTGCTCAGGCTGGAGTGTACAGACACCATCATAGCTCATTGCAACCTAGAACTTCTGGGCTCAAGTGATCCTGTTGCCTCCCCATCCTGGATAGCTAGGACTACAAGCATGCACTACCACACCCAGCTTATTATTGTTGTTATTATTTTAGAGATGGGGTCTTGTTATATTGCCCAGGCTGGTCTCAAACTCCTGGACTCAAGCGATCCTCTTGCCTTGGCCAGGTGTGAACTACTGCACTGGCCTCTTTTCTTTCATTAAGACATGTAACAGAAATGTCTGAATGACATTTCAGGTGAATCTTCAATTCAAAGGAACTTTTTTCTTTTAGACAGAGTCTCGCTTTGTTGCTCAGGCTGGAGTGCAATGACATAGTGATAGCTCGTTCTAGCCTTGATCTCCTGCACTGAAGTGGTCCTCCTACCTTAGCCTCCCAAGTAGCTGCACCTACAGGCATGCACTACTACATCTGGTTAATTTTTGTAATTTTAGTAGAGACAGGGTTTTACAATGTTGCCCAGGTGGGTCTGGAACTCCTGGGCTCAAACCATTTGCCCACCTTGACCTCCCAAAGTATTGGGACTTACAGGTATGAGCCCCTGTGCCTGGCCTGACTTTTTAATTTCAAATATGTCAAAATAATGATGGAACTGTAATTTGCATTGTGAGAGCAGAACCCCTGCAGCTGGTATGAACACCACAAAAAGGACATATCAACTCCAAAAGTCCAGACATGCCCAATTAATGTGACACTGAGATATGGAGTTGCTCCTTGGGGTTACTTCCTGGAACTGCACCTACCTGGAGCCCTGTGCTGACTCCTTGTGTTCCCCACTCTACTAGCTGCACCTTGGGATGCCTGCCATGCATCCAGGGCATCTAGCACAAGAATATCTCCAGCAGCCCCATAGGCCCCTTGCCCATGATGGGCAGTAGCATGCCCTTTGGCTGAATTTTCTGAGATTTTAGTATGGAGAAAGAAGAGCTGAATTTTGCTTATTATTCTCATCACTTGTGGAGTACACAGGAATGCCATTAGACTTTGTTTTCCTCTAGCTCACCTCAGAGGAACCCAAAGAAGGTTGCTTATAATGCAGGAAACTGGAAACTAGCTCATGGGCTCTGCCCACAGACTACTGCAAAGGCCGAGTGAGTGAATCAATAGCTTGTGGCATACCTGTAACACATCCATGGGAATATTTGTTAAGAAATCCACCCTGTGCTATTAATTATCCCTTCTCCTGCTTGTATTTTCCCTCCTCCCTCCCTCCTCCTTCCCTCCCTCCCTTCCTTCCCTCCTTCCCTCCCTTCTTCCTTTCTCTCTCTCTCTCTCTCTCTTTCTTTCTTCTTTCTTACTTTCTGACAAGAGCCTCACTCTGTTGCCCAGGCTGGAGTGCAGTGATGACATCTCAGCTCACTGCAACCTCTGCCTCCTGGGTTCAAGCAATTCTCCTGCCTCAATCCCAGTCGCTGGGATTACAGGTGTACACCACCACACCTGGCTAATTTTTGTATTTTTAGTAGAGACAGGGTTTCGCCATGTTGACCAGGCTGGTCCTGAACTCCTGGCCTCAAGTGATCTGCCCACCTGGGATTACGGGCATGAGCTACTGCCACCTGGGATTACGGGCACAGTAGCTACAGAAGAGTAGCTCTCTTCTTTTTACTGGCTATTTTGCTTTGCCAATTACAATTAAAAGTCTATAAAATTAAAAAACAAAAACACTGAGGTGATGAATATGCTACTCTGATTTGATTATTACACACCATATACATGTTTCAAAATATCATGCTGTACCCCATAAATCTGTATAATTATGTCAGTTAAAAATCATAAAAGAAAAAGCCCCCAAACAAAAAATAACCATCCATTTTAATTTTTTCCTCCAGCTACCACTCTGTCTTGCTTTCTCCAAGCGCTAAACTTCTAGAAAGAGGAATGTACACTGATTCTCACATTATCTCCAATCATTCTGTTCTCAACCCATTGGAATCTAGATTTTAATAAAACTACACTTGCGAAAGTTATAAATAACCTTCTTATTGCTGTATGTAATGAATAGTTCTCCATTCTTCCCAGCATTTGATATAATCAACCATTTCTTCCTTCTTAGAAGATTCTTTTCCTTTGGCTTCTATGACATTACATTTTGAACAATAAATATGTGTTGAACTAGATAGTCCGGTGAAATAATAAAACACAATCTCTGCTCTAATGAAACGTAAATAGAAATATGCTGAATAATAATTTATTGAATAATTATTGCTTGAATAATCGCTGAATAATGATCAATTATCGAAGTTCAAGAGTTCATTTGAAATTTTTTATTGACACTGAAATCAAGTAGAAATTCACCACATTGATTTCATTTACATGAATTTATAAGTATAAATTATCCCCTTATAATTAGTTTTTTTTAAGTGATGTCTAATAAATGGAAATTTCTTACGGTGACATTTCAATAGATCTTAACTCAATGGAAGTATAATAAAGAATAGTGATTTAATTTAATCCAGGTAGATTAACTTCTGATGATCTCACCATTCCAGATTAGAACACATGAGACTGAATTGGCTAATAAAGCCTGTAGCCCATCTCTAGCAAATTTGTATGAACTTCCAGTAAGTCTTTGGATCTTACCCAATTTATGTTTGAATTTTTTGATTGTTGCATTACCAAAATTACCAAAGGACTCAATAACCTCTAAATGCCAGCACAATGCAAAATGACAGTTTACTTGAATGTTTTGGAATCCTATTTGTTCCCGCAGAAAGAGCTCATACCCTTTTATCAACAGAAACCCAATTTATTGATTAATCTGAGAAATTAGGGGGCAGCGGAAAATATACTTATCAATCTATCATATGCTATGTGTTAGGCCTGGCTCAGTAAGTATAAAGAATATGGTAAAACTGGATTCTGGAATCTTATAATGTAGTCAGAAAGCACAGAAAAAGACTTTGCTTTAAGGTAGGGTGCAGTGGCTCATGCCACTTTGGGAGGCCAAAGTGGACAGACCACTTGAGGCCAGGAATTGGAGACCAGCCTGGTCAAGTGGTGAAACCCCCTCTCCACTACAAATAAAAAAATTAGCTGGGCATAGTGGTGTGCACTTGTAGTCCCAGCTACTCAGGATGTTGAGGTACAGGAATTGCTTGAACCTGGGAGGCAGAGGTTACAGTGAGCCAAGATGGCACCACTGTACTATAGCCTGGGCAACAGAGCAAGGCCCTGTCCAAAAAAAAAAAAAAAAAAAAAAGACTTTCCTTTTTATTTCTTTTAGAATGTCTTCTAATTTTCTTATTTTTATTTCTTCTCTCATAAAAATGCATTCAATAAATTCATTTAAGGAATATTTGTTGACTTCATGTGATGATGTGCCAATCACTATGATGCTAAGCAAATATGGCTCCTACTGTCATACACCTTTTTAGTGAGGAGAGAGAGACAATACACAAACAAATCAGTTTCTCATCATGACAAATACTATGAAAACAATAAGCAAGGTAACATGGAGAGTGACTGGCGTGCCATGTTAGTTGGGTGGTCAAGGAATGCCTCTCTGATGTGGTGACATCAACTGAAGTCTGAGACAAGAAGCCATGTTGAACATCTGGAAGAACAGTGTTCTAGAAGAGGGAACATCAGTTGCAAAGGCCCTGGGCCCAGAAGGAACTTAGCATGTCCCAGGAACAAAATGAGTATTAGTTACCAATACTGATTACCTCAGGGATTTATTTGGTTCGATAAAGACTTACAAGCCAAGGTCTCTGTCCTAAAGGAGCTCTGTAAGAGAGACAGACATAAGTAAGAAAGATCATAATGCAGTGCAGAAGTACACTGCAGTGACAGCAGTATGGACAAGCTAAGGACTAAGAAGGAAGACTGAGTAATTCTCTGGGGTGTGTTTCAGGGTAGGTATCACAAAGATGGTGATGTAAAAGCAGAATTTTGAAATATCAATAGAATTGACAAAGCAGGAAATAGAGTTGTGCTGAGGGACCAATGCACAGAGCACACTGAGGGCAAAGACCTCCAGCTGGTTCTTATTAGTGAACACTGCAAGAGAAGAAAGTGATGCTCAAAAGGCAGAGGCCAAGCCATCATGGGCCTTATATTCTGTGCATGACTGAAGTTATCAAAAGACTCTAAGGAAGGCAACTCGGGATTGGACTTGTTTTACATGACCATCTCTCTTAATTATGTCTGCGGGAGAGTAAATGTGAAATGATAAAATGGCAAAGGGACTCAGAAAGAGATGAGAAACCTGAGAGGCTTTTAGGGTTGATAAAATGAGTAGGACTTGGATTGCCCACTGTTTAGTAACTAATAACTTCCAGTCCCTGGTACTAATAAATACTTGAGGAAGGAATGGATGAAAATGAGTAGTGATTGGCTGGGTGTGGCAGCACCATGTCCCATAAGCGGAAGTCATGAGCCCCGTATTAACAGACATTGAGCGCTTAAAACCTTTAGATGTGTTGTTTTAATTCTAATAAACTTATATGCATTTCCACTTTTCAGATGAGAAAATTCTTAGGCTCAGAGAGACTACGGTACCCTGACAGCGGTTCTAGAACTCTTAGAAACTTGGCTCGAGGATATGACAGATAACCAGGTACGTATGCTTAAAAATTACTTTCCACTACTTAGCTTACAGGGTCAAAGAATGAAATTATCTCATTTATGATAAAATGTATAAAGTCGCTAACTCTCCAAAAAGGGACAACATAGGGTTCCAGAATGTTCCCGCCAGCCTGTCAAGGGAAGCCCAGAGAGGTGAGTCACAATAGCCCAAGACAAGCTTACCCTCAACCCTCCCCGTCACCCAGGGAGGGCGCGGGCGGGGTTCTTGGTCCGCCGCTGTCGCCTGCGCAGTCGCAGTGCGGCTCTTGAGCGCCGCGGCCTGAAAGAGAAGGGAGGAGAGACGAGTATACGCATGCGTCCATCCTGGGCCGCTAGCTCTTAAACCTCTCAGGGAGTTCTGACGTCATTTCCTGCCGTAGGTAGCCACTGTCTCCGGGTCGCGGTCATTTAGATCCCCAGTCTGGGTGACTTCTTGCGGCTGTACGCCCCCTCCCCCTCCCCGCGGTACCTTGCACTTTTCTCCTTCCCTGCCCCTCCCTAGTCCCTTTCGAGCCTTCTGCCCCTGATCGCTTGGCCTTGCTTCGCAGTCGTCTGCTGCTGTAGACAGGAGGTGGGTGAGGTGATGCACACAGCCCCGTAGTTGCCCTCCGCGTATGCCTTCACCACCTCTGTGGCCATCCGCGACTTTCGCACCTTCCGCCATTTTCCTGCCTGTGAGGGTGGATAGATCGCGCTCGGGTCTCGGCCTCCTTGGTGTCGGTGACTGCTGAGGCGACGGATTGCTTCTGGGGGTGTGAGCTGGGGAAGTTCGTGGTCACGGAATGCCTGTGGGGTTGTTGATCAGTCAGTAATGGCAGGTGGGAGATGGACACAGGGAGTGGAGGATGGAGTGCGGGAATCAGCGGTTGTAGGCCGCTGGGGCTTCAATCCTTCTTTCTTTTTTATTAAGTGCTTAAAATGGTATTGTCTCCAGGGCCTTGTCTGCCCTGACAGTTTTTGTGGTGTTTCTGGGAAGGATGCTGTTGTGAGAAATAAGAGAGTTTCATTTTTTTCGAATGCGGTTGTAGGGTAGAAGTATATTATTCAGCAGGCTCCATCCATCCATGAATTCGGCTTACCCTTTTTATTCCTTTTCTGGATCTAAGGGATTGGCATGTAGTAGGCCCTCATGGCTTACTGACTAAATGAATTAATTGTGTATGCCATTTCCTGTTTCCATGCAAATTGTTATTAAAATAAGAAAAATAATGATCCCGCGTAAATATTCTGTAAAATACAGTTACTTGATCTGTTGGTCTAAGTCCCAATATATGAGTTTTTTTTTTTTTTTTTAAAGAACCAAATAAAATTTACGTTCTTGGAATTTTATGCCTTTTTTATAATATATACTTGGGGAGGAAGGAAATTTGGAGATACGGAATTTGTTGTTAGCTTTACATCACAGGGTGAAGGATATGACGTCTTTGTTATTCTGTAGTTTTGGAGTCCTCTTTTGTGGGAAAGGTTGAATGTTTCTGATGATTATTTTGTTTTTTAATATGGAAACTCAAAAATGACTTGAGATTTTTTTCTCTTCTGTTTTGGGGAATTATCCTAATCATTGGGCATAGATTTGCAAAACAACCAAAACGTAAGATAATATGAAACAAACAGTTTCAGGAGGAAAAGATATGTATATTATTTTATTGCTATCTTTTTATGTCTTGATATTAATAAAAAACAGTATAAACTTATAAAACGCTTATGCTTTTTCAATTAAGGAACGTAACCTGAATAGTGAGTCAAATTAATAGGTCTGTTACTTTTTCATCTAGCTATTTTTATGTGAAGTATCTAAGATACTGTGGTGTGTAGTAAATGCTTGTTGATTGATTGCTATGTAGACTAGTAGTTTTACTATAGCCTACATCTTAATTTACTTTGACCTAACTAGTGATGGTTTCTAATACTTAATATGTGATGTTTTTGATACAGGAAAGATGAATGGGAGGGCTGATTTTCAAGAGCCGAGTGCAGAAGTTCCAAGACCAATTACCCGTAACTATCTATTAAGTATTTATAATTAGAAGCGCTTTCTATGCAAAGGAAATTTCACTGGTTTGAGTAACAGTGGCAGGTGGGCTGGCTTCATGAGCATGTGCAGACAGGCCCCTGTACTTGATTTCATGTTTCTACTCTTGAAATTCTGAATAATTTGGACAAGGAGTTCCACGATTTTTTGTTTTGTTTTGTTTTTGCAGTGGGCCCAGCACATTACGTTGTCAGTCCTTGATGAGCAGATAGTAGCATTAACTTCTGTTTGAAGTCAAAGTTTGTTAAAAGTGTGTAAATGGCTGGGCGCGCTGGCTCATGTAATCCCAGCACTTTGGGAGGCAGAGATGGGTGGATCACCTGAGGTCAGGAGTTAGAGACCAGTCTGGGCAACATGGTGAAACCCCATCTCTACTAAAAATAAAAAAATTATCCTGGCATGGTGATGGGTGCCTACAGTCCCAGCTACTCGGGAGGCTGAAGCAGATCACTCGAACCCGGGAGGCGGAGGTTGCAGTGAGAGGAGATTGCGCCATTGCACTCTAGCCTGGGCAACAACGGTGAAACTCTGTCTCAAATAAAAAAATGTATAAGCCAGTTGTTTTATATTTTGAGTTAAAAAAAAAAAAGTGTCTCTTGTTAATATTTAGGCTAATATAATTTTTCAGACTTACTTTTATTATGGGTAATTTAATGTTTTTTTATTTTCCTTGTAAAAAGACATAGGGCCTGATTACATTCCAACAGAGGAAGAAAGGAGACTCTTCGCAGAATGCAGTGATGAAAGCTTCTGGTTCAGATGTGAGTTCAATTTTCTAATTAATGTAATTTGATCCAAAATTTGTACCTGAAATTTTGACCTGAATTTGAATCTGAAATTATAATAACTCTGTATAGAACAAATTGGCAAACTTTTTGCATAGTGTGGTTGTTGTTAAAAGAGATTAAGGAAATAAAGGAATTGCAGGCTGGGCACGGTGGCTCAAGCCTGTAATCCCAGCACTTTGGGAGGCTGAGGTGGGTGGATCACGAGGTCAAGAGATCGAGATCATCCTGGTCAACATGGTGAAACCCCGTCTCTACTAAAAATACAAAAAATTAGCTGGGCATGGTGGCGGGTGCCTGTAATTCTAGCTACTCAGGAGACTGAGGCAGGAGAATTGCCTGAACCCAGGAGGTGGAGGTTGCGGTGAGCCGAGATCGCGCCATTGCACTCCAGCCTGGGTAATGAGCGACACTCTGTCTCAAAAAAAAGGAATTGCATACATTTTAAAGTAATTATTTCCAGATTTTTGTAATCAAAACGATGAGGTAATTTTGTTGATAATAGTAATAGTTAGCATTTACTGTATGTACATAAGTTATATAAAAACAACCCAATAAACTTGATAATTATTATTACCCTCACTTTACAGGTGAGGGAATTGAGGTTTAGAGATGTTAAATGGCAACAGCACCTAGTGTTACACAGGAGATAAATTACGATGTTTGGAGTTGAAACCAGGTCTGTCTGAAACAGATTTTACTCTTGATGCTTTTAACCATTACATAATAACAGGTTAGTTCCCATTTCATCTTTGTGAAATGTTGTTATACTACCAACTCTTGATTTCTGACTAGAGAATTATATATATTTGTGTATATATGTCAAGGTTTTACTTTTTAAAGACAGAGATTGTTGGAAGCAATACACAAAATATAATCTTAGTATTGAACAAAACACTGGAAGAAAAGAAAAAAAAATCAAAGAAAATGAACAAAGAACTGGTATTGCTTTACGTGGAAACTGTAATCCTTTCAGGTAAGGTAATTATAACAAAAAAGAGGATGGATTTTTGTTTTTTTGAGACGGAGTTTTGCTCTTGTAGTCCAGGCTGGAGTGCAGTGGTACAATCTCTGCTCACTGCAACCTCTACCTCCTGGATTCAAGCGATTCTCCTGCTTCAGCCTCCCAGGTAGCTGGGATTACAGGTGTGTGCAACCATGCCCAGCAAATTTTTATATTTTTAGTAGAGATGGGTTTTCACCTTGTTGGCCAGGCTGGTCTCAAACTCCTGACCTCAGGTGATCCAGGCACCTCGGCCTCCCAAAGTGCTGGGATTACAGGCGTGAGTCACCTTGCCCAGCAAATTTTTTTTTTTAAAGGCAACTTGGCTGGTCATGGTGCCTCATACCTGTAATCTCAGCACTTTGGGAGGCTGAGGCAGGAGGATCGTTTGAGCCCAGGAGTTTGAGACCAGCCTAGGCAATAAGTGAAAGAGGCCTCATCTCTACCAAAAATGAAAGAAATTAGCTGGGTATGGTGGTACACAGCAGTAGTTGCAACCACTTGGGAGGCTGAGGATGAGGCCGGAGGATCCCTTGAGCTGGGTACATAGAGGCTGCTGCAGTGAGTTATGATCACATCACTGCATTCCAGCCTGGGTGACAGAGCCAGACCCTGTCTCAAAGAAAAAAGAAAAAGGAAAAAAAGGACAACGTAAGCCATTAAGGAGTATGTACATTTTCATCAGTCAGCCTGATACGTATGCTTAAAATGTACAAGATGTGCAAGGCACCTTTTGGGAAGATAAGTTTTATGAAAGGACAGTCTTTGTCCTGAAGTAGTTTTCTTTTTTCTTCTTTTTTTTTTTGTTTTGTTTTTGAGACAATGTCTCACTCTGTTGCCCAGGCTAGAGTGCAGTGGTACCATCTCTGCTCACTGCAACATCCTTCTCCTGAGTTCAAGTGATTCTCCTGCCATAGTGTCTCAAGTAGCTGGGACTACAGGTACGCGCCTCCATGCCTAGCTAATTTTTGTATTTTTAATAGAGACAGAGTTTCATCATGTTGGCGAGGCTGGTCTCGAACCCCTGACCTCGGTTGATTTGCCGGCCTTGGCCTCCCAAAGGGCTGGGATTACAGGTGTGAGCCACCAGGCCTGGCCCTGAAGAAGGTTTATATGTGGTGAGACAAAGCTATAATATGAAACAGAGATTAAGTGTGTAACTGCAGAAGACTTTTTAAGGAGATAAATTAAGTAGAATTGACTTACTGAAATTGAAACATTTGAATAACTTGAAATTTTAAAATTCAAAATTTTCTGAAAATTTTATTAAATTTCAATTTGTTAAAAATTGAAGCCTCTTTCAATTTTACAATTGTCTTTTTATGTAACATAAGGTAGAATACCTGAGTTGGAAAGAGACCTTTATTTTTTAGGTAAACAATACTGGAATAACTTTATAATAGGACTATAAGCCAGGCATGGTGGCTCACACCTGTAATCCTGACACCTTGGTTTGGTTTGGTTTTTGGTCTTGTAGATACTGGGTTTCTCCATGTTGCCCAGGCTGATCTTAAACCCCTGGGCTCAAATGATCTGACTGTCTTGGCCTCTCAGAATGGTGGGATTTCAAGCATGAGCCACTGCACCTGGCCCCAGCACTTTGGGTGGCTGAGACAGGAGGATTGCCTGAGACCAGGAGTTTGAGATCAGCCTTGGCAACATGGTGTGGCCCTGTTTCTACCCTCCCCCTATAAAAGATTAATAATAATTAGATAAATGAAGAGGAAAGGTGGAGTAGCATTTGGATGAAAGGAGTAGTGAACAATGGCAGAGATTGCAATAACTTGATCTCTGTAGAGCCATGAGCCTGAATTGATTGGAACAGAAGTCTTTCATTGAGGATAGAACATAAAACATAGTAATGAGTTAAAGATTTGATTCATTATATCGTTTAGGTTCTTGAGCAGAAGCGGGGTGATATGTAAGGTTTTTTTTTAGGAAGGTTCGTTAGCAGTGTGCAAGATGGGTAGAAGGGTGAGAAATTGTATTTGGTGAAATCTGCTATGAGCTTTTGGCAGTAACCTTAGGCATATGTATGTAGTCATTGATGAGATAAAGTTGAATATTGTGTCATTTGAACTGGAAAAGATGAGCTGGCAACGAAAGACTTTTTTAAAGAACAAATAATAGGATTTTTAAAGAAATTCAACTAAGGCGGAATGAAGGAATGGTAAGAGGAAAGAAATAGTTTTAAGATAACCAGCTTAGGAAACTCATTATTGATGATACTACTGAATAAAAGGTTCAGTTAGAAGGAGTTCTTGTTTGAAGAGGGAAATGAGTTTAGTTCAGACATTTTGAATTCATGGAGCAACTTTCGATTGTGGAAGATTTGTAAGCAACTAGAGATAGAAACAAAATATAGATGAAAAATTCGGGTTTCTTGTGGAGTTGTATTGGTGAATTCACCTACAAATTAAGTGTAGAGATAAAAGCATAAAACTGTTAATAGTTTCTGCCATGTGATTAATACTTAGGAATGATAGAATAAAGAATAAAGTTTGAGTAGTACCATGGATAAGGGAACAAGTGATGGTGGAAGAATCAACAGAGACCAAGAGCAGTTAGGAAGATAACACGAGCTCTGATAGAATCTTAATTATTTTATTCACCAATATTCAGAGACTTGCAGATGTTTCAAGCTAAAAAGAATCTGAGTAAGAATGAGGTGATGATGTCTATCTTGATTTGTGATGACTGTGCAGTTGAGAATAATTGTTTTAGACGCATAGTCATCATACATTAAGGACTTCAATCAAAGTTTCATGGCTCATAGAACGGGAATAATTTCTTTTTCTTTTCTTTTTTTGGGACTGGATTTCACTCTTGTCCTCCAGGCTGGAGTGCAATGGCATGATTTTGGCTCACTGCAACCTCCACCTCCTGGGTTCAAGCAGTTTTCCTGCCTCGGCCTTCTGAGTAGCTGGGATTACAGGTGCCTGCCACCACGCCCAGCTAATTTTTGTATTTTTAGTAGAGACGGATGTTGGCCGGGCTGGTCTTGAACTCCTGACCTCAGGTGATCCACCTGCCTCAGCCTCCCAAAGTGCTGGGATTACAGGTATGAGTCACTGTGCCTGGCCAGAATGGGAGGAATTTCTTAGAGAACTTGGCTATATACTCTGGCTACAGTTTTTGTGTTTTTTTTTTCCAATCTTTGACAATTGTATAGAGTAGGTAGGATAAAATGATCTGTTTTCAAGTCTCAATGACACAGGATTAAGAAAAAGACAAGTCTGATAGAGAGGGTTTGGGATTGTTATACTGTTGGCCTACTGGCTAAATAGATGCTAAGGTGTCCAGATTTATTACTGGCTGATAAATGTATGCTGTTGCATATGTTTAACATTCTAAATAGCTATGACAGGATTATGCCAAAAGTACATTAAATAGCAGTGAGCAATAATCAGGATGCCCATGTATACCAGACTTAATAGTGGGACATGTGGTGTATGAACAGTACAAAGCTAAGTAATTTCTTTGTGCATCTAAACAGGTAAGTCACATGTTAAAAAGACAAAAGCAGCCAGGCATGGTGGCTTCTGCCTGTAATCCCAGCACTTTGGGAGGCTGAGGCAGGCCAATCACCTGAGGTCAGGAGTTCGAGACCAGCCTGACCAATATGGTGAAACCCCATCTCTACTACAACTACAAAAATTAGTGGGGCGTGGTGGCAGTCACCTGTAGTCCCAGCTACTTGGGAGGCTGAGACAGAAGAACTGGTTAAACCCGGGAGGTAGAGGCTGTAGTTAGCTGAGGTCATGCCATTGCATTCCAGCCTGGGTGACAGAGTGAGACTCTGTCTCCATAAAAAAAGGATGAACCCTGGGGTCTGATTGGCTGGATTCAAATCCCAGCTCCACACATAGTAGCTGTGAGATTTTGGGCAAGTTCCTGAGGTCTGTGTACCTCAATTTTCTTATCTATAAAATAGGGATAACTGCCTATCTCATGAAATTGTTATAGGGATTAATGCAATTTAATTGTCTATGTGTTGGCTATCTTTATTAAATAGCTATTACTGTTCTTGTGATTAATGAAATAAAAATTTCTATTGACTACAGTTATGAATATAGAGTAACTTTTTGTTACTGTGAGGGGAGAAGAGTTCAAAGAATTGTAGGGGCTCTTGTACATATTGAATATAGTTTGGGACCGTGGTAATAATGTGCACTAGGTTTTGGTCAGCAGTGTTACTGATTTGCCTATGGAAACAGATTATTTAACAAAACAGAAGTTATATACTGCAGTGGAAAAGGCCACTGACTGGGGGAGTCACGAGACTTGGGTTCTGATCCCAGCACTACCGCAAACTAACCAGCTGTGTTGCTTTGAGCAAATGACTTGTCTTTTCTTGGTGTCAATGTACTCTGATTGGAATGAGGACTAGATAATCTCTGAAGCCTCTTTCAGTCTTACCATTGTCTTTTTCTATGACATAAAGTAGAATACCTGAGTTGGAATGAGACCTTAGGTCTAATCCATTATCCTAAGATAATGTAAGAGAAGCTGTACAAAGACATTGTGGTGAATGGCAGAAATAGTATCTCCTCAAGCAGACTCTTACTCCACATTAAATGGGGAAAGCATTATCCATTGTAGAAATGGCCAACTAACTCATTGCCTTTTATCCTTGTATGATTCTTCAGCGCTTCATGTTGCAATCCTTGAGTGAAGCTGAAGGAGAAAAATGATTGCAAATTGTACTGGTGCTGTAATTAAAAGGGATTTGTCCTTTGCAAAACCTTAAATGATAATACATGAAGGCATTCTAACCAGCCAACATTAAAGAAACCATATTTCTAGCAAAGGTAAAATCTGTTAGTAAGTAGGAATGCGTGAATTCAAACCTTAGCATTTGTGCAGTTTGTGTCTGATGGCAAAGTTAATGCCCTGTTCCAAAGTGATGGATTTTAATCATGAAATCTCTAATAATTCAAATGTTTTAATTACTTTGGTTCTTAAATTGTCCATATATGGTTTAAACCAGAGTTGAACGAACTAGCCCGTGGATCAAATCTGTTTTTGTATGCATGAGAATTGTTTTTATATTTTAAAATGGTTAAGAGGCTGGATGCAGTGGCTCACGCCTGTAATCCCAACACTTTGGGAGGCTGAGGTGGGCTGATCACTTGAGCCCAGGAATTCAAGACCAGCCTGGGCAACATCTTAAAACCTCATCTCTACAGAAGCAAAACAAAACAAAAACCAATGAAAAATTAGTCAGGCATGGTGGCGCATGCCTGCAGTCCCAGCTACCTGGGACACTGAAGCAGGAGGATCATCTGAGCCCAAGGGTTGAGGCTGTGGTGAGATGAGGTTGCACAGCTGCACTCCAGCCCTGGTGACAGAGTAAGACCCTGTCTAAAAAAATTAAAAATAGTGGTTAAGAGAAAAAATGAAAGCAGAAGAATATTTCATTACATGTGAAAAGTACTTAACGAAATTCATATTTTTACATTTATAAAGTTTTCTTGGAACACTACTGTGTTCATGTGTTTTTGGATTGTCTCTGGATTCTTTTGCTTTAAAATGGCAGTTGGGTAACTGGGACAGAGATTGTCCCACAAAACCCAAAATATTTGCCATCTGGCTCTTCATAGAACTTGTTTGTCAACCTCAGGTCTGGAACAGCACTGTCCAGTGTGGCAGCCAGTAGCCAAATGTAGTGATTTAACTTTAACAGTGAAAGGATATAAAGCAAAATCATCAAGAGAAAAGGGAGCATGGAGTGAAGTCCCGAGGAAACCAAGTAACAAGAGTTCTCTCCCAGGGAGAGAATTCCTGGGAAGTGTTGATTTCTCTAACAGCTAGTCCTAACAATGTGTAAAGTTTTATCTACCAGGGAAACTCTTTAGAGACTCAGTGCCCTTGGTTTTTATTGAAGACTAGTCACTTATGTACCCTCTACCTAACAGGTACCAGAATTCCAGACTCCCAGAATGAAAGCAGGTGTTTGGCATGAGTTGTATTTGTACAGTTTGAGCACAGTGAGCTACTTACACATATTCAATGTGGGGAACTGCTTACCAGTCAAGTACCTAGACCAAATTCATCACAGGGTTGGTCACTCAAAAATCAGCTTTCATCATCACAAAAATTCCGTTAGTGCTAATGAAGAAAACAGTGACTGATAGCTGTTTTTAAGTTATAACCCTCTTTGAGATTACAAGAGTTTTGGATTTTTCACTCTCAGTTGTAGGCATATATAGATGTAATATTTTCATATTCTTTAATAAGTTCGTGAGTATAGTACAAAGAACATTAAGGCCGAGGAGGGCGGATCACAAGGTAAGGAGTTTGAGACCAGCCTGGCCAATATGGTGAAACTCCGTCTCTACTAAAAATACAAAAAAATTAGCTGGGCGTGGTAATGCATGCCTGTAATCCCAGCTGGGGAGGCTGAGGCTGGAGAATTGCTTGAACTCAGGAGGCAGAGGTTTCACTGAGCTGAGATAGCGCCACTGCACTCCAGCCTGGGTGACAGCAAGACTCCCGTGTCAAAAACAAAACATTAGTGTTTAAAATAGTGCTTTTTAATTCTTGCCTCAGCCACCATTTGATTATGGTCAAATATATTTTGTATTTTGGTTCACAGGGTGTAATACAGAGCTTAAAAGCTTGAGATCTGATATCAGGCTTTTATTAGAATCTGCAAACCAACCATTCAATTAGTTGTTTGACCTTGAGCAAATTAATTAACATCTCTAAGCTTCAGTTTCCTTATCTTTAAAAGGGTGGTAATAACATAAGCTACCTTATAGAAATATGATAAAAATATGATATGATACCTTATAGAAAAATGATAAAAGTATAATAAATGAGATAATGCACATAAGGTGCTTAGCCTGATGCACAGAATTTAGTCATTACTCAGTAGTGGCTCTTATTTGTAACTTGTTTCTTGCCTCTCCCTCATTAACTTTTCCCCCTTCTCTAACTTCAGAATTAACTTTTAGTCAGTTCTACTGTGTTGTCTTAGTTGATGCTATTAATGAACAGCTGGCTATTTGGAACCTAAGCCTAGATGGTTCATTAATTATATTGTTTAATATTTTGTGATGTTTTCTTAAATTTAAAATGCTCCTTTAATTTTTCCACTATGTATACAATAAAGATCTTAGTTTTGCAGTATACTTCCTAGAAGGTTTTACTGATACTCATTTATTTAATGAACTGAAGACAAAATCTTTTCCTTTCTTTGATGTTGACAAGGTCTTTTTCCTCCTATAGCTGTGCCTTTGGCTGCAACAAGTATGTTGATTACTCAAGGATTAATTAGTAAAGGTAAATATTCAAACTTTGAATTTATTTAGCATTTTGGATACCATGTTTGTTTTGTGATATTTTCTAGATTTTTAGAAGAAGTAAAGATAACAGTGTATTATATTAAACATTATATAAAATTCATTGATGAATTTCTACAGTACATTTTTAAACGTTTTGTCTCTATGGATCCACTGACCCAAATATTATGACTTGAGAATTTCTACTGCACTGATAGCATCATTAACAACCTATGAGAGCAAGAAAGTAACTAAACACCAGCATTAGTGGGATAGATCTGGTCTAGGTGGGCCAGTAGCAACATTATCACCTAGGAGCTTGCTAGAATGCACATTAATGGGGACCTAGAGTCTGTGTTGTTGTTTTTTTGGTTTGTTTTTTGAGATTGAGTCTCACTGTGTAGCCCAGGCTGGAGTGCAGTGGCACAATCTTGGCTCACTGCAACCTCCGACTCCTGTGTGTTATTTAATAATGATTGGAGCTAGGTATGCAGAAGGTTATACAAAGGAAATTTACGAGCTGCTAGTAGGTCATTGCAGGAAACAAATGGATGTGAACATATCTTGAAGCAAATAGAAATTGAATTACATACTTAATCAGCTACTAAATTGCAGAGTAGGGACCCCTAAAAGTTGTAGGTGTTCAAAGAAGAAAAATCTTTGTAGGGCTGCTGTAATCAAGGAACGTTTCTTGAAAGAAGTGGATTTTGAAAGATGGGCAGGATTTAGATTAAAAGAGAAGAAAGAACCTGCCAGGAAGGAGAGACCTGATGATCAAGACAAATAGGCATGACTTTTGGGAGAGGTACACAGGACTGAGCTGAAGAGGCAAAATCATGCAGGGAGGAGTGAAAACTCCGTTAAAGAGCTGAAGTAGAGCCAGGAGAAATTATAATTTGGATTAGGTTATGAAGAGGGGAAAGTGTTTTAAGAGATTATGGATTTAGGTGCAGTTGAAGACTTTGTACTACTGAAGGTAAGGTAGAAGTGGTAAAAATTGGGAGAGACTTTAAGACAAGAATTCAGTATCCACCAAGACATTTTGCATTTAATCGGAATCCCTGACATTTTGTTCATTGGTCCTTTTGTATCTGCGGATTGGTTCCAGGACCCTCCAGAGGATGCGAAAATCCACAAAAGCTTAAGTCTCTGATGTAAAATGGCCTAGTAAAGTATATGTGCCTATCTGCCTGTATACTTTAAATCATCTCTAGATTTCTTATAGTACCTAAGAGTATGTAAACACTACATAAACAGTTGTTATACTGTATTGTTTAGGGAATAATGACAAGATAAAAGTCTGCATATTTAGTATAGATGCAGTTTTTTTCCCTGAATATTTTCTTTTTTTTTTTGAGATGGAGTTTCTCTCTTGTTACCCAGGCTGGAGTGCAATGTTGCGATCTCGGCTCACCACAGCCTCCGCCTCCTGGGTTCAGGCAATTCTCCTGCCTCAGCCTCCTGAGTAGCTGAGATTACAGGCACGTGCCACCGTGCCCAGCTAATTTTTTGTATTTTTAATAGAGACAGGGTTTCACCATGTTGACCAGAATGGTCTCGATCTGTTGACCTTGTGATCCACCCGTCTTGGCCTCCCAAAGTTTTCCTGAATATTTTCTATCTGCAGTTGGTTGTAGAACACACGCCTACAGAGGGCTGCCTGTATCTGCTTTCATCCACAGTGCGTCATACTCCACATGGTCTTAGCTGCTCCCTCTGTTTCTTCCTGATCTGTCAAAACCATTTCTATGTGTTTAGGTCTCCTCTAACTTAAGAACATTCAAAAAAAAAATCTTCCCTCATTTATTTTTCCAGCTACTCCCAACTGCCTCATATTTGAAGCCAGACTTCATGAACACTTCACTCTTCACTTTTTACTTCTTTTAACCCCTTGCAGTCCTTGTGAGACTATCCATATATTCTACCATTTATTGGAACTTTTCAAAAGGTTACCAACACAACCTCTTTGCTGCTTAAATATCATGGATAGTTTTTGTTACTGACCAGCTTTATATAACTTTAACCAGTTTTTCTTGAAATAATTCTATTCTCTTGGCTTTCACGATGTCATATTCCTAAGATTTTTCTCTCACCTCAGGCGATTCCTTTGTTGTTTCATGTTTTTTTGACATGTACTACACATTGTTATATAGCACTGAACAACAAAAAGTCATGACCTCTTGGTGCTTACATTTTTGTATGGGTTTTCTTTGCTTGTTTTGGAAATGTTGGTGTTATTATATTCTGGATATAGTATATAATATGGATGGCTCTTCACTAGGCCCCTCAAACTGAACTCATCATTTTCCCCAAAAACCAATTCCTCTTTTCTTTTCATGACTGAGTGACATTAATACTATCCAGAAAACTGGAACATTTTTCTTCACTTCTATCCCTTATCTCTGCCTTATCCAATTCATGTCTTTTAGCTCTTTTTTTTTTTTTTTTTTTGGAGACGGAGTTTCGCTCTCGTTACCCAGGCTGGAGTGCATTGGCGTGTTCCTCCTGGGTTCAGGCAACTCTCCTGCCTCAGCCTCCCTAGTAGCTGGGATTACAGGCATGCACCACCATGCCCAGCTAATTTTTTGTATTTTTAGTAGAGACGGGGTTTCACCATGTTGACCAGGATGGTCTCAATCTCTTGACCTCGTGATCCACCCACCTCGGCCTCCCAGAGTGCTGGGATTACAGGCGTGAGCCACTGCGCCCAGCCTGTCGTTTAGCTCTTAAATGTCTTTATTAACTATCCACCTCCATCTGTACTGCCACTATAATTAATGCAACCATATGTCACAAAGAGTATTGTAGGAACCTTCAACAAATCTGTTTGCCTGCATTCTTGCTGCTACTTAGGAAAATAAGCTGTTTCTAGTACCTGACAGAGGGCATAGTTAGTGCACATAGTACTCAAATATTGGAGGGGATGAATAGCAACCATCACACTATTCTCTTTGTCTTAACTCTCTCTCTAGACTGTAAATTCCATGAGAGTAAAGAGCGTGTCTTGTTTCCTGTTAATATCCAGCATTTAGCGTCTTTATAAGTAGTCTATAACTAGTTGATGACAGAATGAAGGAACAATTTTATTTATTTTATTTTTCTTTCTTTTTTTTTTTATTCTCCTCAGAAGTGAGACTTTCCAAATATTTTATTTTATTTTTGAGATGGAGTCTTACTCTGTCGCCAGGCTGGAATGCAGTGGTGCAATCTCGGCTCACTGCAATCTCTGCCTCCCAGGTTCACGTGATTTTTCTGCCTCAGCTTGCTGACTAGCAGGGACTATAGGCATGTGTCACCACACCCAGCTAATTTTGTATTTTTAGTAGAAACAGAGTTTCACCATGTTGGCCAGGATGGTCTTGATCTCTTAACCTCGTGATCCTCCTGCCTCAGCCTCCCAAAGTGTTGGGGTTACAGGCATGAGCCACCGTGCCTGGCTGGAACAGCTTTTTAATGTAAAAATAGAGACGTTCTTACCATTTTCCTTTTCTCTTATCATCCCAGTGGTATAAATGAAGGAACTGAGGTTAATGGCACAGATTAGTTGTCTGTTTTTGTACTTTAATTACATGAAATAAAACACTGAGGTATTCTTTTATGTAAATTCTTTCAACATTACGAGATTGATCCAGTAGCATGCTGGAACTGGTTTGTACTGGCTCCTGAGAATTGGTTGTTAAATTTTCAGAAACTTCGGCAAGCTGATTTTTAAAGTGTTGGAGGCTTTACACCATGGAAACTGACAGACCTTAAAATTAGAGCTTATTATAGGGAGTTTACCAGCACATCACTGCATTTATCCACCTTGTTGCCATATAGGTTTCCTCTGTGTAAATACACCAGTTTATCTGTATTAACTGTACATTGATAATTGGTAGTTTTCAGTTTTGACTATTACAATTAGTTCTGCCAAGAATATGGTGCTTTTGATAGACATTTTGCTGGGTCATAGATTTCATATATGTTTATTTAGCTTTAGTCGATATTGCCAAACTATTTAGACCAATTTATACTACTACATTCTCACGAACACTAGCTATTTTTATGTCTTTGATATTTTAGCCATTATGATAAATGAACACTATTATTGATTACATTGTGGTTTGAATTTGTATTTCCCTGTGACTAATGAAGTTGAAGACCTTTTCATTTGCTTATACCTCATTTCAGTACATCATTGTTTGTGAAGTATCTGTCGAAGTCTGTTTACCAGTTTTTTCATTGGATTGTCTTTTTTCTACTGGTTTTATGAGACTTCTCTCTATATTTTGGAAGTAAGTCTTTTGTCAGATATGTATATCGTGGGGTTTTTTTCCTCACTCTGTTTAACTGTAGTTTTCAGTGTTAATAGACTCCAGTTTATCAGGTTTCTTCTTCCTGATGAGTGCATTTTGTTGACTCTTTAAGATCTTTGTCTACTCCAAGGACACAAACATGGTCTCTTATGCTTTCTTCTATATGCTTTTTTTTTTTTCCTGCCTCAGGTTTATTTGTACAAATAATACAGGAGGGCCCCAGCCCTGTGCAGATGGTAGCCTGGGGCAGGGGTCGCACCAGTCCTTCTGTCCTCACATTGGCAGACAGAGACGCCTACTCTGAAGCCTTTGTAGGGATCTAGGCACCTTTGGGAGCCTGAGCTGGAACTGAAACTGGAGCTGCAGCCTGGGCCTTGGTTTGATCCTTGGCCTTAGCCTTTAGCTGGCAGAGCCTGAGCCCCTTGACAATGCAGGCATGAGCTCACTTTCCAATCTTGGGGTGGGCAATGTAGGCAAGTTGATCCAGCTTGCGGCTGATACCCTTTGGGATCTTGGGCTTAACGTTGGGCTTTACAAGGGCCTTGATAGCATTGGCACGTGCACTCATGGCCTTGGAGGTGTTGGCCTGCATCTTCTTTAGGCCCTTCTTGTGCTTCTTGGCAAAGCGCATGTTCCTCAGAAACGTGGGTCCACCCCCTTAAGAGATTTGTGTCTTTGTGATCAGTGTTTCTTGGTACTATTTCTGTACCGTTTTCGGAACTGGTTGTGTGTGGTGTGGCTCTTGGACTTGGCTGTGTCTGCACCTTAAACTGTGGCTCCTGAATTGCCTAGAGGTTTTTTTTTTTTTTTTAATCTTTTATATTTACATTTTTAAGCCATCTAGTTTATTGTTTGATATAGGATCAAGGTACATTTTCCCCTGTTAATGGATATTAATTGAGCCAGCACTATATTTTGAAAAGACTATGCTACAGTTGTCTTTGTCATAAATCAAGTGACTGCAGGTATGGAGCTGTCTCTGGACTCTTAGTTTGGTCATTTTACCTTTCCTTGTACTTAATACCAGATTGTCTTAAGTACTACAGCTTTATCATATAGGTTTTGCTATGTGGTGGTAGTCAGTTCTATAATACCATTCTTCAGTGTTGCCTTGGCCCTTTGTGTGAAAAATTATAAAGCTTTTCAATTTTTGCAAAACTTTTGATTTTAATTGGGATTGCATTGTATTTATAGGTGAAGTTATGGAGAATTGCCATTTTAGAATATTGAGTCAATTCTCAGTAAGTTGTAACTTTGAGTGTAGAGATCTTTTATCTCTTTCATTAGATTTGTTCCTGGGTTTTGAGTGTTTTTTGGGTGCTATAATTAATTCTGTCTTTTAAAAAATGTTTGATTTTTTTTGTTTGTTGTTGGTATAAACAGTTTTTCATATATACATATATGCGTATTTTTGGTCTATAGACCTTGTATCAAGTGATCTTTCTAAATTCACCTTTTCTAATACTTGATAGAGTCTTTGGATTTTTGTCATATTTCTCTCGATATTGAAGTCATTTGATTTTCCCTATTAAAAAGCCTAGGGTTCTCTAGGGCCATGGAAGGAGCTAATGTTGTCAGATTATATTTTAAAATAGTCTTTACTGGTTTTTCTTTAACAATGTTACTCAGAAAGACTTAACTCTTTTCTTTAGGAATACTTTCAAGTCATCCCAAATATGGTTCAATCCCTAAACTTATATGTAAGTATGAACAACATTGTAGTTTTCATAGCTTTTTAAAATTTAAATACAATTATTTTTATCAAATGTTTTATCATATCTTACTCGTATTAGTTATATGGTTACATACTCTGATAAATCAGTTTGTTAAAGCATTTCATTAAGTGGATTACTTGGGTATTTTATTGTTAGCATAAAAAATCCTTAGTTGAAATAGGTATTTTTTGTATCTTTATAATGTAATAGAACTATTAATTTGAAATTATTTTGTAAGGATAAAGTATTTGAAAATAAATTTTTGGTCTGTCTATGGGGAAAGAAAGTTGTGTAGATATTCTGATTAATCAAAATAAAGTATATTTAAAATTAAGCTTAATTTTTAAAAGAAATCTCTAATGTACATTTTAAAATGTAAATAACTGTAACTTATTTACACGTTGCAATATAGTTAATAGAAAAAGAAGCTACATTGCTCTTCAAAAGGAGTACCTGAGGCTCTTCCTGGGTCTTTCAGGTTAGCCTTTCTGTTGTATTAGAAACTCACGTGATGCAGTAATTGCCATTACTTTAAGAGATTTGTTGCACCTAATTTTATTTTAAAAACAATCTTGTGAAAATGGCTATGCAAATGATTTCCTGTTTTATAGAAAGATAATGGCCTAAATCCTTGTGATGAGACCAGAACTAGAAATAAATAAATGTTTTGATATTTTGATTTTTTATCCATTCCTCTTCCCATTATACCTTTACTAAATCTTTCCTGTATATATTATAAAGTAGTATATTATAATTGATTTACTTAAAGCTACTTTATTTTGGCATACTTTGTTTTTTAGGAAACAGAATTATATCCATAGACTCTGTCTGTGAACTCTGATCTGATTTAATTTTGATTCTTCTATCATTATTTCAGGACATCTCAGTCTTTCTAAACCAAAGACATATTTAGAATCACACTTAAAAAATTTTTTTTTAGAAAATACTTTTGTCTGAAAGTCACATTCAGTTACACTTTTTGTTTGATTTTACAAATAAGTTGCTTGTATCATGGGATACTTTGCTGGAAAACTTTCTTATGTGAAAACTTGCCAAGAGAAATTCAGGAATCTTGAAAATTCCCCCCTTGGAGAAGCTTTACGATTGGCACAAGCACGACGACGATCTTCACCACCTGGGTAGGCCAGATTCTGATCTTTACTTAAGATTTTTAATTTGTAAGTAACAACTAGATGTTTCTATAATTCAAGGCTCAAAAACGTTGCCTGAAAGGACCATTGGATATTGTAGGCTAAAAGTAATTTGCTTCAAAAATTGGAGCAAGACTTGCCACCATTTATTTATGAATGAATGAATGAATGATGGGGCTTCCCTCTGTTGCCCAGGCTGGAGTGCAGTGGCATGATCTTAGTGCACTTCAGCCTTGAACTCCTGGGTTCACAGGGCCCTCCTGCCTAGAGCTCCCTGAGTAAATAGGTCTATAGGCGTGAGCCACTGCACCCACCTAATTTTAAAAGAATGTTTTTTAAGAGATGGGGGTCTCATTTTGTTGCCCAGGCTGATCTTGAATTACTGGGCTCAATCGATCCCCCTGCTTCAGCTTCCCAAATGGTTGGGATTACAGGTGTGAGCCACTGTGTCTGGTTCCTCATTTTTGTTTTGTTTTGTTTTGAGACAGAATCTCACTTCGGCTCCCAAGCTGGGAGTACAGTAATGCAATCTCAGCTCATTGCAACCTCTGCCTCCTGGGCTCAAGTGATCCTCCTCCCTCAGCTTCCAGAGTAGCTGAGACCACAGGCGTACACCACCATGCCTAGCTAATTTTTTGTATTTTGTAATAGAGACTAGTTTTACCATGTTGCCCAGTCTGGTCTCAAATCCTGAGCTCAAGCGATCTGCCCCACTTGGCCTTCCAAAGTGCTGGGATTACAGGCGTGAGCCACTGCCGGACTTCATTGTTTTAAATATAGAGTTGTATCCTATTGGGAGTACATGTCCTAGAATAAAGGATTTTATCTTGATTCAATTTTGCAAACACCTTTGGTTACTGTAGTTTGACTTTTCTTTTGAATTCCCAAATGTTATCAATCCCATCTCTTAACAGATTTTAACTTAATTTTAATGCTTCTTAAACAGATAGGCAAGCAATGTAATCCCCATGAGAGAGAATTACTTGTATCTGCTTTAGCAAATTAGTGTTTTTATAGATTCTTAGCTATGACATTACCTTCTCAATTGACATGGGAAATGGACATGGTTATTGAAAATAGACCTGATTTGAAGTGCTTTTTCTTTCCAAGAACTTTCAAACATACTAAAATTATCTTGAAAGGCTAATAGTTAGAAAGTTGGGTATACATTTCCAATTTTTCCGTGTTGACAGTGACCACTTTTAAGATGTATAACTGGGTCAGGACTTCTTAAAAGTGTTTTGTTGGCAGAAAGAAACAGACCTCATTTTACTGCTTATAAATAACTGTGTTAAAAATTATTTTGAGGCCAGATGTGGTGGCTCATGCCAGTAATCCCAGCACTTTGGGAGGCCAAGGCAAAAGGATTGCTTGAGCCCAGGAGTTTGAGACCAGCCAGGGCAATATAGTGAGACCTTATCTCTACAAAAAACCAAGTGGTGGTGCATGCCTGTGGTCCCAGCTACTTGAGAAGCTGAGGTGGATGGATCGCTTGAGCCTAGGAGATGGAGATTGCAGTAAGCCAAGACTATGCCACTGCACCGTAGCCTGGGTGACAGAGTGAGACCCTGTCTCAAAAAAGAAAAACTTATATCTATATATATATAATTTTGGAAATAAGATATATAGAAGAAGTTATTTTAACACTTTAAGATATAGGCAGTGACTCATATTTCTTAACACAATATGGTTTTCATTTACAGGCACTATTATCAAAAGTCAAAATATGACTCAAATGTGAGTGGTCAATCATCTTTTGGGACATCCCCAGCAGCAGACAACATAGAAATGCTTCCTCATTATGAGCCAATTCCATTCAGTTCTTCTGTGAATGAATCTGCTCCCACTGGTATTACTGATCATATTGTCCAAGGTAGAAACTTCTCTTGAAATGAATTTCAGCATTTTATGGTCCAACGTATGTATAAACTTTATTTGATGACTTTCTGCTGGATATCACCTGTGTACCATGAATCATCAACCTAAACACAGCATGTTTGTTTTTGTTCATTTGTTTCTTCATTCATTCAACTTTTCTTGAGAATCAGTAGGTGTCAGGTACTCTGCTAGATGTGGAAGAAGATGAATAACACTTGGTTCTTGTCCCTGAAAAAGTCTCAGTCTGTTAGAAGATGTAGAAATACAAGGATAAATTACTAGTATGTCCCAGTAATTGAAAATACTAGGGCAAACTTAGTGGAATAGTGAAGAAATAAGTTGTGTTTCAGGGAATAGAGGCTCCAGGAAAGCTTTGTAAAGGTTACATTTGATAGGCTGGGTTTTAAAGGCTTTCAACTTCCTTGTCTGTAATATAAGAAAGAACTGTTGTCAAGTGAGAAAATCCATGTGAAAATGCTTTGTGAAGTTTGTAAATACTAGCTTTGAGGATCACACATATAAATGCAACAACATCAATTTGGATTAAGGCTTGGATTTGAATCATGATTGACATTTGTGAGCTATGTGACCTAGTAATACTGCTACTACACAATGTAGTGGGATTATTATAACTACTTTATAATCCTTTCAGTTTCTTGATCAGTTGAATGGAATTGCAGTGGTTCATGCCTGTAATCCCAGCACTTTGGGAGGCTAAGGTGGGTGTATCACGAGGTCAGGAGTTCAAGACCAGCCTGGTCAAGATGGTGAAAATGTGTCTTTACTAAAAAATACAGAAATTAGCTGGGCATGGGTGCCAGTAATCCCAGATACTCGGGAGGCAGAGGCAGAGCATTGCTTGAACCCAGGAGGTGGAGGTTGCAGTGAGCCAAGATCACACCACTCCATTCCAGCCTGGGTGACAGAGAGGGACTCCATCTCAAAAAGAAAAACAAAACAAAACAAAACCTAACCTCTCTTAATGAACTGTTGGAATTAGATGAAATAATCAGGGACAATGCCTGGCAAATAATAGACTCTCAAAAAAACATTAGTTTCTTTCCTTCAGTCTAGTTTGCAGTGAAAGATGAGGAATCAGAAATAGAAAATACAGGTCTACAATTATTTAAAATCCTGAAATTCAAAAAACTTTGAAAACCAAGTTTTTTGTTTTTGTGTTTTTTTAGTAATTAAACTGGTATTAAAATCTTGCCTGAATTCATTTAGCAGCATACCCTAACCTAAATTCAAATGAGTTATATAACATAGACTTTATTTACTTTGCCAGATAAGATTTTTTCCTTTATTTCATTGTAGAAATATTAATATGTTTGCTTATTCATTGCGGTCTCAAACCTCTGAATGGATGGGTATTAAGTAAAATAAGGGGTATATACTATAGTATTTTTCTGAAATCTAAGAAACTGAATTGTGGAACATATCTGACCCCAAGGGTTTGAATAAGGGATTATGGACCCTCGTAGAGTATATTCTTTAAATTTTAAAAGATGAGAGGGAAAGAAATTAAGGGGAGGGGTAGGGGATACAGTGGAAAGGGAGAAGTTTATTATAGGTCAGAGAAGGTTCTAGAGAATGCAGAAGGCGGTTCTAGGTAAATCAGAATATAAAGTAGCCGCTAGTCATATGTGGCTATTTAAATTAGTTGACATGAAATAAAATTTAAAATTTGATTTCTCAATTTCTTTGGTAGCAGCTGTTCAGTTGCTCAACAGTCATATGTGCTAGTGGCTACCATGTTAGCACCAATACAGAACATTTTCTTCATTGCAGAAAGTTATGTTGGACAGCACTACTTCAAAGCAAAAGTTGGGGCAAAGGGGTGAGTATTAGTCTTGTATAAAGGAAGAGACAGGAAAGAATGGAAGTTCAGATGATTAGAGAGTTTGGATGAAAGTTGTTGAGAGCCTCTTAATCCTCAACTCCAATTCTTTATTTTTTTCATTAGTGGTTGGAAGCAAAGGCACCAAATAAGTCAAAAAAGGAAGGAAGGGAGTGGGCAGATTAGGAGAGAATGGCTGAAGTCACTATCTTATCTCCAAAGGCAGCTGTCCTTGTTCCTCACTATGTCTCATTTAACCAGTCTAAAGTTCAAATCCATTTTTCTTGTGCAGTAGTCCCCCCTTATCCATGGGGGATAAGTTCAAAGATGCCTCTGGATGCCTGAAACCTCAGATATTACCAAATCCTTTATACTCTATGTTTTTTCGATCTAGATGGCTACTAAGTTACTAACAGGCAGTTAGTGTAGACAGCTGGATATGCTGGACAGAGGGATGATTGAAGCCCTAGATGGACCAGAGTGGAACCCCACAAGATTTTATCACACTACTCAGGACAGGGTGTAATTTAAGACTTATGAATTGTTTATTTCTGGAATATTCCATTTAATATTTTCAGACCATGGTCGACTGTGGGTAACTGAAACCCTGGAAAGCGAAACCACAGATAAGGGGGCACTACTGTATTCTAGACATGCACTAACTCTTTCCTTGTAATGACTTGCATCCTTCCCACCATTTGCATTAGGAAATTCTGTTACATTGTTTCTTTTCCATACAAAAGCCAACAAACAAAAAGCCCTTTGGTATCTACCCAAAGACTACAGCAAGGCCATGTCTTAATATTATTTTGTGCCATCCATCCATCCACTGCTCTGCTTTCTGACCCCCTTCTCTAAATCAAAGTGGCCACTTTTCTACTGCTCTCCACGTGGGCCAGCAGTGGCCTGCTTTTGCTTTGCCCCAAATGCTGTCCTCCCCTACCTGGGCATCTTCTTTGGTTTAAGTCCTATTTTAGTTGTGCTTTCTTTTACCAGGAATTCAGAGAGTTATTAATCTTTTAAAATAGCAAGTACCCTTCATAGCTATTAGGAGACTTAGAGTTTATTACAGTCAGATTTAAGTGCCGCTTTACATTTTCCTATTCCTTCCAGTTCTTTATAACCTTCCCAAAATAGTAAATCATGTTCTCTCCCCAATGCAGGACATTCTCCCCAGTCTTCTTCTGTCTGATTTATATATTCATTATTTGTTCCAGAATTTTATAACAGTAAAATACTTTTTATAAGAAAAAGCATTAGACCTGAAAGGAACTTCGGAGATCATCTAGTCAAACTGCCATATTTCACAATTGAGAAAACCAAGATTCGAAGAAGCTTAGTGATTTGCCCAAGGACATTCCCTAATTGTCAGCAGGGTGGGGTTAAGAACCCAACTCTGAAGTTGGGTTCCTGAAGTATACACGATTTCCATCAGAATTTCTAATATATGGTGAAGGGAAATCAGTAATTACTTATCACTAATGAAATACAAAGTGTTTTAAACCCAATATAAGATTATAATATTTTTCTTTACATTCTTTTTTTGTAAGAAAATTTAGTTTTCAACCCATCATATAATACTAGAACTAATTAGAAATTTAAATCTTCTTTGGCTTTCATCAGTACAGTATATATTCATTTGGCAAAATTAAAATTTATGGTTGAAAACAGCCTGGTGCAGTGGCTCATGCCTGTAATCCCAGCACTTTGGGAGGCCGAGGTGGATGGATCACTTGAGGTCAGAGTTCAAGACATCCTGACCATCATGACGAAACCCTCTCTCTACTGAGAATACAAAATTAGCCAAGCATAGTGGCACATTCTGTAATCTCAGCTCCTTGGGAGGCTGAGGCAGGAGAATCACTGGAATCCAGCAGGCTGAGGTTGTAGTGAGCTAAGATCGCGCCACTGCACTCCAGCCTGGGTGACAGAATGAGACTGTCTCAAAAAAAAAAAAGAAGAAAAAATTATGATTGAAAACATTATTTAATGTATAGTTGTGTTGCTTGAAAAATTCTAATTATTCACTGGGATCTTACCTTTGAGTTCTGAATAAGTATCACAAAAGTTATGTTTTAGAAAATTATATTAACATTATATTAAAATTATATGCCCAATTTGTATATCTCCTTGAAAACATCTTTGAAAAAAAGAACTTTTGGTGTGATATGTAAGATTTGTAAGCATCGTTTTTTCTTTTGGATGTTCATATGGCCGTTTTTGCTGTTTATAAATTTTGTGTAAATTGTGTTCACTATTTGATCCTGTCAACCAATGTTAGAAGTAAACCGCTACATTATATTTACATTTGACTCTATGATAATATGTAATATTCACACTTTGACTCTCTTTTGGAGAAATAAAGAATAAATGTTAATTCCCAGGCTGAAATAATAGTTGATACTTTCTTCTGCATCATCATTGCATCTGTTAGACCAGAATGAAAACAATACATATTCTGATTAAAGGCTATGTTTTATACTTTTCAGTATTATTTTCACTTTGTTTTGTTTTGTTTTTGAGACAGAGTTTTGCTTTTGTTGCCCAGGCTGGAATGCAATGGCGTGATCTTGGCTCACTGCAACTTCTGCCTCCTGGGTTCAAGCAATTCTCCTGCCTTAGCCTACTGAGTAGCTAGGATTACAGGCATGTGCCACCATGCCCAGCTAATTTTGTGTTTTTAGTAGAGATGGGGTTTCATGGTGGCCAGGCTGGGATTACAGGTGTGAGCTACCACCCCTGGCCTATTTTCAGGTATTTTTGTTTAAATTTCATAATGGTAAAATAAATGATTTTTGAAATAGCTGAAGTTGTTTTCATAGAGTATTTGGTTATGGGAATATTTAACTATAAAAATATATTAAGTAAAATCTAGACGCTGTCAAGTTTTATTCAGTTGTCACTAGTAGAATATATTTCTCTTAATTCTATATACAGTATTAATAACTCCAGTTTAAAACACTGGTATTTTAATGAGTTTAATTTGTACTGTTCTATATTATGATATCTATTTTTCTTCTGACTGTGGTTTAGTTTTAAAATTTTTTGATGTCCATTTTAATTTTTAGAAATAAAAGCTTAAAAGTATAAGAGGAAATAAATTTTAGTTTGCTAATTATCTTGGTGAAATTATAGTACCTGTGAAATGGTGATAATAATCTGATTCTTTATTTTACTTTATTTTGATTGTAGGTAAGGAGCATTTATAAAATTTAGTTGTTTAGATTTATACAAATCCTTTTGTTACCATTTATTAACTGTTTGTTGTTTTAGGACCAGATCCCAACCTTGAAGAAAGTCCTAAAAGAAAAAAATTTACATATGAGGAATTAAGGAATAAGAACAGAGAGTCATATGAAGTATCTTTAACACAAAAGACTGACCCCTCAGTCAGGCCTATGCATGAAAGAGTGCCAAAAAAAGAAGGTATGATAGTTTAGTCTGAATCACTTTATTGTTTAGGATTGGAAACTAAAGCATTACTTTAAAACAGTACTATAAAAAATTAATTATATGTGATTTAACTCTTTAAGCAATTAACCAAAGTAAAATTTTTTTTAAAAGAGCAGTTACTTTACAGTTATCTGTTCTTCCATTTTTAAGGTATTCCAAAGGCTATTTTGTGTTAGAAAATAATGAAGTCCAGGCCAGGGATGCTGTCTCATGCCTGAAATCCCAGCACTTTGGGAGGCCGAGATGGTTGGATCACTTGAGGCCAGGAATTGGAAACCATCCTGGCCAACATGGTGAAACCCCGTCTCTACTGAAAATACAAAAATTAGCTGGGCATGGTGGTACCCATCTATAATCCTAGCTACTCAGGAGGCTGAGACAGGAGAATTCCTTGAACCCAGGAGGCGGAAGTTGCAGTGAACCGACATCATGCCACTGTACTACAGCCTGGATGACAGAACGAGACTCTGTCTCAAAAGAATAAAGAAAATAATGAAGTCCAAATAGTAAGACTTAAGGCAGCAAGATTAATTTTGTAACACAGGGTAGAGATTATATACTCATTTGACTGTTTTCCCCTTGTAACAAGTCTCCTTGGAGATCTGATATTCTTATTTTCCTAATGGTATTCCTATCACACAATTCACTGTGGTGACCTGAGGTTGGCATTGCTCTGTAAATTAAGTACCAGTTGTGGCCTAAGCACAGAATAATTAAGTAATGAGATTGATTTTCTTGTACATTTGGGTTTTTTTTCGTTCTGGTTTTTTGTTTTCTTTTTTTGAGATGGTTTCACTCTGTCACCCAAGCTGGAATGCAGTGATGTAATCATGGCTTACTACAAGCTTGACCTCCCAGGTTCAAGCAATCCTACCTCAGCCTCCCGAGTTGCTGGGATCACAGGTGTATGCTACCATGCCTGGCTAATCTAAAAAAATGTTTTGGTACAGTGGGTGTCTCCCTACGTTGCCCAGGCTAGTCTCAAATTCCTGGGCTCAAGCAATCCTTTCACCTTAGCCACTGGAATTATAGGTGGGAGCCACTGTGCCTGACCTTTCTTGACCATTTATGACATTGAAAAAGCAGCTTCTAAGGCATTTCCAAAAGATGAATTTAATCTTTTTAAAAAACAAACAAAAACCGTACTTTAAAAAATGTGAATTTTAAAATCCTGATTTCTTTTAAGTCTTTTTGGAATAGCTGTACATTAGCCAAAGTAAATTTTTTGATACATGTTTACCTCTAAAGGAAGAGGGTATTTGATAGGATTTTATAGCTATTTCAGTATAAGATTTTATGATTTTTCTCTTAAGGAATTTCAGAGTATGTGTCATTGTTTCAAGGTTTTCTATTTACTTTAAAAATAGAAGGAAATAATAGGTCTTTGGTACCATCTAGAAGGTCATATGACACAAAGAATGCAAAAATATATAAAAGTCCTTAGTATGGCCCGGTGCAATGGCTCACTTGTGTAATCCCAGCACTTTGAGAGGCCGAGGTGAATGGATCATGAGGTCAGGAGTTCAGGACCAGCCTGGCCAAGATGGGGAAACCCCATCTCTTCTAAAAATATAAAAATGAGCTGGGCGTGGTGGTGGGTGCATGTAATCCCAGCTACTCAGGAGGCTGAGGCAGGGAATTGCTTGAACCCAGGAGGTGGAGATTGCAGTGAGCCAAAATCAAGTCGCTGTGTGACAGAGTGAGACTTTGTCTCCAAAAAAAAAAAAGTCCTTAGTATTTGTTGTTTTGGTCATTTTTTAGAGCTAATTTTATTTTTAATTATTCGCGGTTGCTTCAAATTTGGAGTTCTGTTTTTATAACAATGATAGATAATATCTGTGTCATATTACTGATGTAAAAAAAGATCTACCTTTGAAATAAATTAGTAATCTACCATACTTTTGAATGTTTGTCATCAAACAATGTTTAGTGTAAACTATGCATCTAGTGGCTGTTCCTCTATAATACATAAAGATTTTGGTACTTCGTTCTGCTTATTAATTTGAGGATTTAGATTGTAAGCTCTGTGAGGACAGAGAGTTATATTTTTCTCATTTTTGTAATTTTTTCTATTATTGTTCAAATAGCATAGTACCTTACACTGTATCAGAAATTGAGTATTTTGGTTTAGGCTTCTGTAGTAATAAAGGTTAAGAAAAGGAAATTTGGTAGACCTTTAGCATTTGCTGGTTTTTGACATTTGTGAATTTTGACTGTGAAGTCTTTAAGTTGTATTACATGACAAAATAATGTGAAATGATACTTTTTTGGTAAAAGCTGTTTTATATAGTGTGCTTTATATAATATATAATTGTGCTTTATATAATTTAAAGACTTATTTTGAAATAGTTTCAGTGATTTTCTAAAATATCATTGAAATTAGTACAGGGTAGATTCACAGGGTCAGAAACTGTCACTTAAAGTTTCATCTTTAGCTTTTGTGGTTGATACTTACCTAATTAGAAATTAAGATTCAGAAATTAAAAAATTTCAAGCACATATTCCATTAGCTACCAGAGCAGTGTCACCACACATTCTTTACCTTCTAGAAAACCATATACCATATACTTAGGAGGGAATGAGGAGCAAGGGGAAAAGGCAAAATGTGAAGGTTAAGGATATGTAATGTCTTAGTAGAATAATGAAATAATTTTCACTTCATGTATTCCCTGAAAAGGGTCCACACTGTGATAACTGCTGCTTTATATGATTATGATTACTCACAGACAGGCTATGTGGAGGAAGAGCCAAAAAGTAAAAGAAAAGACAGTGGACATGTTTCAAAATGTAGAATGTAGAGTACCAGTGAAATGTAGTAGTATTTTCTTCTCATAATAGTGTTTACAGCCCTGAGAGAGATCGAATTAATCACAACTTGAAGACTTGACCATTTCTACTGCTGTATTTTTTGTGAAAAAAATATAAATGTTTGTTTTATTATTGTTTCTCACTAATTTTTTTTGTTTTTTTGCATATGGCTTAATATGTGCCACACTTACTTAGGTAGTATGGTAAAGATGTAAAGGTACCCAGGCTTTGGATCTAAGCAGACCTGTACTCAAATCTCAGTTCTTATCATTAGGGCTTGTACCTTGGGCAAGTTACTAATCTGTTTTCCCACCATTAAAATGAGGATTGTGTTTAGAATTTTGTTATGAGGATCAACTATTTATGTAAAATTCTAGTTACAATGCATTTGTCCAACCCCAGGTTCACAAAAGTCTGGCCATCCCCTTTTTGTAATTATAATTTGACTCTCATCTGCTTTTATTCAAATGACAGAGAAACATAACTTTTCATCATAGCAACAAACCTAATGTTTTTTACTTATTATTGTTTGGAATCATCAATTATTTGTGCTTTTTTCCTAGTCAAAGTAAACAAATATGGAGATACTTGGGATGAGTGAAAAATTACATCATTGGATCTACTGAAGAAGTTTCAATATCCAGCTTCATCTAGGTGGTCATGAATACCTGCATGCTTTGAGCTCAGCAGCAGTCTTCATAAACACATTTAAAACAAAATCCTGGGTGTTTTTTTGTGGTTTGACTTCTCTGGTGTTTTTAAAAAACACAGATTTTTAGTGTTAATGTTGTATGAAATGTTCTCACCTTGGGGATTCATTTGAATGATGGTATCATGCCATGATTGTATACAGTTTGTGAAATTGTTGCAAGGGCAAAGATACTTTATAAAACCATCAAGAGATTATAGTGCTCTAGAATCAACATATATGAATATAAATGATAGCTGCATGTTGAGTTGGGGTGGGGGGAAGCAAGCATAATTTTTAAGTGTGAAGCTTTACATCAAGAAATTATTAAAAAGCTTTATTTCTCCAGTATTTGCTGTATTATCTTAATGTTTATGACAAATAAAATGTAAAGGAACATGCAACAGCCCTCATCTTCCTTGGTTTTAATGGTTTTATTGTTTGCAATTATTGATGTAGTTTTTAAGTTAGTTAAAATCATGTAGGTATAGGAAATAAAGTCACCTATAATATTTAACAATATATGCCTGTAATCCCAGCACTTTGGGAGGCTGAAGTGGGAGAATTGCTTGAGTCCAAGAGTTCGAGACCAGCCTGGGCAACAAAGTGAGACCCTGTGTTTACAAAGATAAAAATTAGCTGGCAATGGTGTCATGTGCCTGTAGTCCTATTACTTAGGAGGCCGAGTTGGGAGGGTCACTTGAGCCCATCGGTTCTACGTTTCAGTGAGCTATGATCACACAACTCTACTCTAGCCTATGTGACAGAGTGAGACCCTGTGTCTAAAAAACATAGTGTGATTTATGTAGATAAATTGATACATAGTAAATACACCTATTTACTTGCCAAATGGCACCAGACTCAGTATTGCTGGGAAATCTTAGCTGGATCATTAGGCACATTTTCTATTTTTGGTCACCACAGGTAACAGTTTTGCTAAACTTTAGTGCTTATAAAGGGTCTCTTCCAGCTTCCAGTAACATTTTCCTCCCTCTGACATCTTACTTGGAAGCCCTTTGGGCTTCTGCTACCGTTGCCCTCGAGGCCCTTTATAATTTTACTAGCAATCTCAAAATCCTGGCAACTTCCATCTGCTACTTGGTCCCAACGTTAATGCCATATGTTTTAGCTTCTTGTTATGGGAGGACCTCACTTTCAGCTATGAAATTTCTTTTTAAAACTTTATTTTTGGGGGTACACAGGAATATATATGGGTTACATGAAATTTTTGATAGAGGCATGCAATGCGTAATCACATCAGGATAAATGGGATATCCATGTGTTACAAACAATCCAATTACACTCTTAGTTGCTTTAAAATGTATGTAGATATCTTTTTACTTATAGTCACCCTGTTGTGCTAGCAAATACTAGATCTTACTCTATTTTTTTGTACCAATTAACCATACCCACTGCACCCATTTGTCTCACTCCCCACCCACTACCCTTCTAAGACTCGTAACCATCCTACTGTCTGTTGCCATGACTTCAGTTATTTTAATTTTTAGCCCCCATAAATAAGTGAGAACATGTAAAGTTTGTCTTTCTGTGCCTGGCTTATTTCATTTAACATAATGACCTCGAGTTTCACCACGTTGTTGTAAGTGACAAGATATTATCCTTTTTTATGGCTGAATAGTACTCCATTGAGTACATGTACCACATTTTCTTTATCCATTCATCTGTTGTGGGATACTTACGTTGTTTCCAAATCTTGGCTATTGTGAATAGTGTTGCAGTAAACATGGGAGTGCAGATAACTCTGACATACTGATTTCCTTTCTTTTGGGTATATACCTAGCAGTGGGATTGCTGGATTATATGGTAGCTCTCTCTTTTGTTTTTTTTTAGTTTTTCAAGGACCTCCAAACTGCTCTCCATCATAGTTGTAATAATTTGCATTCCCACCAACAGTATATGAAGGTTCCCTTTTCTCCACATCCTCACCAACATTTGTTATTGTCTGTCTTTTGGATAAAAGCCATTTTAACTGACAGGAGAGGATATGTCATTATAGTTCTGATTTGCATTTCACTAATAATAATGTTGAGCACTTTTTCATATACCTATTTGCGATTTGTATGTCTTCTTTTGAGAAATGTCTATTCAGAGCTTTTGCCCATTCTAATATTATTACTCTATTCTTTTTTTTTTTCTTCTTCTTTTTAATTGAAACAGGGTCTCATTATGCTGCCCAGGCTGGTGTCAAACTCTTGAACTCAAGTGATCTGCCCACTTCGGCCTCCTAAAGTTCTGGGGTTACAGATGTGAGCCACTGCACCTGGCCTATTATTTCAAACCTCAGCGTCCACGAGAGGATGCCCATTTTTTAATTGGATTATTAGATTTTTTCCTATTGAGTTGTTTGTGTTCCTTTTATGTTCTGGTTATTAATCCTTTGGATAGTTTGCAAATATTTTCTTCCATTCTATGGGTTGTCTTTTTACTTTGTTGATTATTTCCTTGCTATGGAGAAGCTTATTAACTTAATGTGATACCATTTTTTCATTTCACCTTGGTTGCCTGTACCTGTAGGATGTTACTGAAGAAATCTTTACTCAGTCCAATGTCCTAGAGTGTTTCTTCAATGTTTTAATAGTTTCATAGGCTGAGGCCTTAGATTTAACTCTTTGGTTCATATTGATCTGATTTCTGTATATGGTGAGAGATGGGTCTAGTGTCACTCTTCTGCATATGGATATCCAGTTTTCCCAGCACCATTTGTTGAAGAGACTGTCCTTTCCCCATGATATGTCCTTGGCACCTTTGTTGAAAACTCAGTGGACTGTAGATGTATGCATTTGTTTTTGGGTTATCTGTTATGTTCTACTGGTGTATATGTCTGTTTTTATGACAGTACTGTGCTGTTTTGGTTACTATAACTCTGTAGTATAACTTGAAGTCAGGCAATGTGATTCCTCCAGTATTGTGGTTTTTTTGTTTTGTTTTGTTTGTTTTTAGGATAGCTTTGGCTATTCTGGGTCTTTTGTAGTTCTATATACACTTTAGGATTTTTTTTTTTTCTTTTCTGTGAAGAATGTCACTGGTATTTTGATAGAGATTGCATTGAATCTGTAGATTGCTTTGGAAACTATGGACATTTTAACAATGTTGATTGTCTAATCCATGAACATTGGAATATTTTTCCATATTTTTATATCCTCTTCAATTTCTTTTTCCTTTTTTTATTTTTTATTAATTTATTTTTTTTGAGATAGAGTCTTGCTCTGTTTCTCAGGCTGGAGTGCAGTGGCATGGTCTTGGCTCATTATGACTTCCACCTCCCAAGTTTAAGCAATTCTCATGCCTCAACCACTAGAGTAGCTGGGATTACAGGCATGTGCCACCAAGCCTAATTTTTGTGTTTTTAGTAGAGACAGGGTTTCACCACGTTGGCCAGGCTTGTCTTAGAGTCCTGCTTAAGTGATCTGTCCACCTCGACCTCCCAAAGTGCTGGGATTACAGGTGTGAGCCACCACACCGAGCCCTGTTCAGTTACTTGCATTAATGTTTTCATTGTAGAGATCTGTCGCTGTTTGTTTTCTTCTTTTGAGACAGCATCTCACTGTCATCCAGGCTGGAGTGCAGTGAAACAGTCATAGTGTACTGCAGCCTCAAACTCCAAGGCTCAAGTGATCCTCTCACCTCCAGCCTCCCAAATAGCTAGAACTACAGGTATACACCACCATGCCCAGCTAACTTTTAAATTTTTTGCAGGGATAGGTTCTCACCACATTGTCCAGGCTGGTCTCAAACTCCTGGCCTCAAGCAATCCTCCTGCCTCCATCTCCCAAAATGCTGGGATTATAGATGTGAGCCACCATGCCTGACCCTCTTTCACTTCTTTGGTTAATTCGCAGGTATTTTGTTTTCTTTGTAGTTATCATAAGTGGGATTACTTTTTTTTTTTCAGATTATTCTCTGTCAGAATGTAAAAATGCTACTGATTTTTGTATGTTGATTTCATATCCTGTAACTTTACTGAATTCATTTATCAGTTCTAATAGTGTTTTGGTTGAGTCTTGCAGTTTTTCCAACTATAAGATCATATTATCTACAAACAAGGATAATTTGACTTCTTCCTTTCCAATTTGGATACTCTATTTCTTTCTCCTGTCCAGTTGCTCTAGTGAGGACTTCCAGTACTACACTGAATAACGTGATGAAAGTGAACATCCTTGTCATGTTCCAGATTTTAGAGGAAAGGCTTTCAGCTTTTTCCGTTCTATATGATACTAACTATATGTCTGTGTATATGGCTTTTAATGTGTGGAGATACATTCCTTCTATACCCAGTTTTTTGGGGTCTTTGTCACGAAGGGATGTTGAATTTTTACCAACGCTTTTTCAGCATCAGTTGAAGTGATCATATGGTTTTTGTCCTTCATTTTATTGATATATGATGTATTACATTGATCTGTTGAACTATCCTTGCATCCCTGGGATAAATCCCATTTGGTCATAATAATCATTTTAATGTGTTGTTAAATTTGGTTTGCTAGTATTTTTTCATTAATATTTATCAGCAATACTTTCATGTAGGTTTTTTTAATGTGTCTTTGTCTGGTTTTGGTATCATGGCAATACTGGCTTCATAGAATGAGTTTGGAAGTATTTCTTTCTCTATTTTTTGGAGTATTTTGAGTAAGATGGGTATTAGTTCTTCTTTAGTTGTTTGGCAGAATCCCCCAGATGTTTTCTTGTTCTGCATGACCTGCTGTTTGAGGCTGAAGGGGGAAGCCAGTGGAATATATTTTTATCTGGGGAAAAAAAAAAGGTTTGGCAGGATTCAGCAGTGAAGCCCTTGGGTCTCGGGCTTTTCTTTGCTGGGAGGTTTTTATTCCAGCTTCAGTCTCATTGCTTGTTATCCCTGTGTTCAGTCTTGGATTTCTTCATGGTTCAATCTTGGTAGTTGTGTATGTGTCTAGAAATTTATCCATATCCTCTAGATTTTCTGTGTATTGACATACAGTTGCTCATAGTAGCCACTAATTATCCTATGAGTTTCTACAGTGTCAGTTGTAATGTCTCCTTTTTCATATCTGATTTTATTTGAGCCTTCTCTTTTTTTTTTTAGTCTGGCTAAAGGTATGTCAATTTTGTTTTTCACCAAAATATTTTTGTTTCATTGATCTTTGTATTGTTTTCTTTGTTTCAGTTTCATTTATCTCTGTTTCTGCTGTGATCCTATTATTTCTTCTACTAATTTTGGATATATAAGTGTAGTTTACACATCACAGCTCCAGTATTGGGTGCATATATAATATATACATATGTTTTGTTTGTTTGTTTGTTTTTGAGGTAGCCACTTAATAGCTATAAACTTCCCTCTTAGTGCTGCTTTTGCTGTGTTTCATAGGTTTTGGTGTGTTGTGTTTCCATTATCATTTGTTTCAAGAAATTT